TGATGAGCGTGGTGTCCTCAGATTGTTCATCCTTTTTGGCAGTTGGAAGCTTGAAACTCTTTATATATCGATATTTATTAAGACAGTTTGTGGATTAAGGCGTCGCATCTAGTTTCCAGCGATGTGGGATCTGTGCTATAGCGTTGCAGAGCTGGGCTTCCTAGTACTTTGAAAGAGTCCGCAAAGATGGCTCTAGCACGTTCTTCCGTCCTTCAACTGCTTAGACAATCCACCTCTGGTAGGGCTGGGCTTTTAGCAAGTATTCTGAATAGAGCTGGAGCTCATAAGCAGCAAGTTACGTCAACTTATGAAGCAATCCAATGTGGCGCTTCTGCTGAACCTCGGGGGACAAATGTGACCAGATCTTTCCGAGCTGGGACAAACGTGATGCATGCAGCAAAGGTCAAAGGTCAGAGAGATGCGGAGGATTTCATAGTGAGTCACACCCCGAGTCACACAAGGCTTGCAAGGATGGGTTTCCAAGGGGCAACCACAGCAACGATGTTCTTGCTTGTCTAGTGCGCCAATGTGACAATCGTACAGTATTAAATCTTACGTTCTCATGTTACCAGGGAAGGAGCAACTCGTGGACGGCTGTGTCACCTATATGCTCAGAAATGCATTGATGTTTGATTAGGGATGCAGAGGTTTGAGGTTCGTTGGCATTTGACAACAGAACACTAAGTGTGACGAGTACCGACTGTGCCACATTGATCGTCTCGACGATGCCACATTTTGTGACGTTGCCAGTCTGGTGGTGAACAACTTTCTATCATGGAATCTTGCAGGAAGATTATCCTGCGATTGCTGAGGGCCCTCCTCGGGGGCGCTTCATTTCCAAGTCAGAAGAGGAGGTCTTTGAAGACCACCGAAGATCATCAGTCCTACGCTGCATGGGGGCAAGGTAGGCTAAAGTTTAGCAATGATCGTTTACAGATCAGTCAGGCCCATATTGCTGTCAGTACAATATTTCCATGAATTTGAATTGGACATGGACCTTCATGAAACACAGAAGAAGGTGATCACCAGTGCACGATCCTGTGATGAGACAACAAGTCAGCAGCAAGAGACACATTCGTGAATGATCTACTTAATGTGCGGCAGTCAATTGTGATGGAATTGAAGCAAGGCTGCCGTTGATTTTCTGCAGCTATGGTCAGGGGGAGGTGTTGAGCTACGAAGCTCGGCAGGTCTCGCGGAAGTTCATCACCCCGTCCATCATCTTGGAGGGACAAAACAAGCTGGCACACCACCACCACGACGAGATTGACCACTAGCTAGCTGATGTCAGCGAGGTGAGGCTCACAGAGACAAAGGTACAGACCATTTTAGGGCCAACTAGGGCACATTGGGGATGTGACCCAGCTTACTAGCATGAGTCAAGTCAAAAGGGTGGCCCGGAGCCAGGAGAGGATCTCTTGCTTTGCAAAGCCTGGAGATCAACAGAAGCACACCAACACATCCTTCCTATCAACCGATGTGTATGAAGCGAGGAACCAAGGAGTTTCTAACAGCAGCGAACTGTCTCAATGGCATCAAAGTATATCAATCTTTGATTTGATACATTCAATAACTCAAACTTCCAAGCATACAGAGATTCCGGGAGATTGCTCCGCAGGCTTCCTCGCCCTGCATCAAAGTCGTTTGTCGTCAGAGCATCTTCTTTTGATTCTAGAATCTTAAAAAGCGCGAACACAATCCGTTCATCAATTTAGCGACAGATCCTTCGGCCCCTTGTATACGCAGGTGTTTGAAAGTTATGCTACTTTGAATTTGAGAAGGTAATTGAGCCTTTCGCTTTTTCGCCAGTAATCTCTTGACTTCGTTTGTTTAGGAACGACTCGTGGAAGATGCTAATATACGGGAAGATGCGAGGAGAGTCATACCTGGTGCAGCTCGAATCGACGACGCAAGATTGATGAGGATCGAAGCGAGCTTCTTTGGCTGCGTTTCTCTTCGCAAAAGTGAACAAGTACTAAGGCGTATGAGCTGGGTAAAGCCTTCAGCTAATGCGTCCTGATTGGGAGAGAGTTTCGGAAATCAGTAAGTGAGATTGCTGCTGATATCTGCATAAGCTGGGCCTCATTGATCACATGTTCGAAAACGTTCCGAGTTTGTTCTGAGTACGTTCAACCTAAAAACAATGTTTACAGGACTGCCAACACTTCGGAGTTCCTCAAATCTGCTGTCGTGGTACAAGCGGGATCCATAGGAACCAATATCGTCTGCAGTCGTTCAAATATCAGCTAGAGCCACTGATGTATCGTTCAAATCTTACCTGAAACAAATGTATCATAGGTGCACCAGCATGACCTAGTTTCATGCCTGTGTCGTCGTTCTCCACGAACACTTCGCCTCTGCATCCATTCTCGGGCACTGCAACGTATTGCAGCTTCGTCACTGCTTTGACACGTACTAAGATCCGACAGTGACGCGGCGCATGCCTCAGACATATCCGTGCATCTCCGTCTATTCTATGGCTACATGAAGCCAGGAAAGCATGGCACTGCAGCAGCTTACTTGAAACGCATTGTTTGCCGAAGTAAATCAAGCAACAAATCCATGTGAACTAGTGACAACGTGCATGATCCACGCAAGGACTCAGCATGGTCGAGCAGGCTGTGTACTAGGAAGGCCGAGGCTCGCAAGGTCAATAGATCACATTTGGACACAGAACACGAGAAACGGTGAGATATTGTAGCTCTTGCTCTGCATTGCATGTGAGGCTAGGTGTGCCACAGCTGGCTTTTTCGGTCTAGCCGCGTGAATCAGAAAAAGTAGCTCTGTTGCGTGTTGCGAATGTCGCACGCTTACGATCGCTCCGCCGAGCTCTTCGCAGGAGGACTGACGAACACGTTTGCAGTCGCAAGATTCACGCAGCAGTAAGTCTTACATCAAGATTTGCACCAAATTTTCAAGTAACGTCAGACATCCGATAGACGTTCAGCGGGAGTATGTAGGAAGTCGAGTCTTCCTCATGGTTTGCGACTCTGCTTTGGACCAGGCGTGCTTGATTCAAACGCGAGGTTTGGAGCAGGCTCAATTGTACTGGGCTGATTAAGCATCCGAGAAACCACCAGCATCCCTCTGTCAAAACCCGCAGAGGCCACACTTCTACCAAAATCAGCACTAACGGCTGTCTCTCGGGTTGCAGCGCAAAGAAGCGAAGCGCATTGGCGGACTGCTTTCTTTGTGGCAGCATAATATTCGAACGGTGAGCGCCTGCTTCAAACAATGGCGGCAGTGCACGTCGTCGCTGCGGGCCCGGCGGTCCGGCTGGAGGAGGTCCGCGACGAGGTGGTGGTGGAGCATGGCGAGGACAAGCTGTCCACCGCAGCTGAGGCCCTGGACCGAGCAGCAGAAGAGCAGAGAAAAGTGGCGCAGGTGAAGGAGTGGCTCCTCTCCAGTGCATGCACGGCCACCTAGAACGAATGTTTCGCAGGAGCAAGATGTGGTTGGAGTTTCGTTTCGAGCGAGCAGACGCTGGTTGAGCTTGCTGCAATTCAAATTCTTTTTGGAGCTAGTATTCTGGAAGTGCATGTTGGCCTGAACTGCCGTCCAACTCGAAATGCATCTTTTGAAGCAAACACTAACATTTCGAAGCAGACCGTCCGGGCATCAGTCCTCTATTCAGTTACTGAAGTCAGTAGGTTGGACCATTCATTCTCATCAAGGTCAGAGCCTTGTAGTAGTCCGATCCCCAGAGCAAGAATCTTGCATGTGCAGCCCCATTTGCGGCAGTTCGAGGAACGGTTTTTCAAACGAGCTTGTTGTATTTTCAGGAAACCGAAGATGCTGCCACGCAAGCCCAAAATCTGGCAAACGAAGCAGCCAAGAAAGCGTCCCAGGTAAGCTATCGCCGGCATTTCGTCACGTGTTACATCCCGCAGTTTTTTCGAGCACTTACAACGGGTGAATGCTGGTGCAGTGCCCCTCAACCGTACCAACCTTGTATCAGACTTCCATTTCTCCATCGTTGCACTGCACCCTCGAGCCACTGTGCCCTGTATCATTTTGTTTCTGGAGGCCTGCAAAAAACAATTTGAGCTTCCAGGGACAGAAGTCGGCAACGAAGACCGCTATTCTCCGACGTTCTCATTGCTGATTTCGAGCCTGTGCCCCTCCCGCTTCCAAGTGCTCATGCCCTGCAACCAGACTGCAACGTGGGCTTGTTCCACTCTCAATGGATCCCGACAGACGTTTGCCACCACCCCATGAGAAAAAGCATCTCGGCCTCGTGAGGATTCTCGAAGTTTGCCAGCACTTGTCACGAACACCATTCTCCACTTGAGTCCACATGGCTCCAAATTCTTCCTCCTAAAGCTTTCGTTGCAATCGGTTCAATTTTCCGCGACTGTACACCGCTGCTCAGTGACAAGCTGCCACGTGTGCCATGCCCCAGGCGGACGCCGCGCAGGCGGAGGCGGTGAGCTACCGGCAAGAGGCGCGCGAGCTGCTGCAGGCGTCGGTGGACAAGCTGCGGGAGGCGGGCGGGGCAGCCAAGCACCTCCTGGAAGCCGCGGAGCAGGCCATCAAGGTGCGCCCACGACTGCTATTGAGCTGGTTTGCAAATACCATTACAAACCCTGCAACTGCCACTAATATCGTCCTGCATCCAACATCCACGCGTTGGCACCTTGGCTATTTCTACTCTTGCATGAGGCAAGCACCTCGAGAAGAAGGGCATTTTCTTTGCTCGAGTTTGCCTGCGCCTCTTCGTTGCTTGTGAGGTAGCACAGACGGTCGCCGGTTGCAGTCCCTTCAGCATCCAGCATCCAAGCTGGTCTCAAGATCGGCAACCGAAATGAGGTCCGTCGAGATCTGGTCGCAGATGTCTTCCGGGCGAACGTAGCCCGGTTGGTCAAAGACCGCTGCTGCGTCTGTGCCGACTTGCGTCACTGCTGGTCCTGCAGGACGCTGCCCAGCGGGTGCATCTGACGGGCGCGAAGGCCCAGCCGGGTGAGCAACACGAGCCCACCGGGGCTGCCCCAGCGGCCGCCTACCCCGCCGCCTACCCGGCCGGCGCGGGCGACGCAGCCGCGCCGAAGGGCGAGGGAGGGGCCGGTCACAAGATGCAGGGCTTCTTCCACGAGGTGGCGGTCAAGATGCACCTCACGTCGCAGCACGACAAGGACGAGGTGCCCCACGACAAGGAGTGAATTGATTGGGCACGAATAGAGCGACCGGTCAGCGCAGCCTACGCGAACGTAGCACTAAAGAAGGGAAGAACAAAACCGTTGGCGGTATGACGTATCGAGGTTCCATTGACGGTTGTACGTATCCAACAGGAGCTGCCCTAAGAAAGCCGCAAGGTTTCAATATTGTCAAGCGGCTGGCGTGGCGTGCAATTTTTCATGTTAGACTTGCACGGATGCACCGCAACTTGCAATATGTTGCGTAGCTCACGCTCGATCCTATAGTATTCCGTATTCTGAAGTATAGGTGTTTACGGCTGGTACCCTCTTATTCAGATGGTGCAACATTCATCGATCGTGTGGGCTCAAACGGGTACTGATCGTATGCAATGGTGATTGATTTGAAGAGCAAAGATGTCTCTAGCTATGTCAACAACAATCATTGTTACAAAATCAATCTTGAAAGGCACCCTTTCCGGAACTCATGCAACCAAAATGCTTCCTGCATGGATACCACGTTGGACGCGGACCCAAGAATCGAAGCTCTACCGTCGGATAGGTGCCATACTTCCGCAGGCCGCGATGCTAGGGCCGGAGCGTGCATCATGCATGGCATGGTTAGGGTACTCGATCGAACATGACCATATAAAATGAACGTGCAGCCGCGCACGTTTCGATTGCGCGTCAAGGTGCTGTCGATCCCGAACTGGCGCAACGTGCACATGTCAGCCCAGAACTTTGCGAGTGCAGCCCCTCAGGCACGTTCAATGCAAGCCGCTTTTTGCAGCTTGACAAGCCATCTTGGGAGTGCCGGACGGCACACAGCACTTTATTCGCAATGCATATGGTTGTATTGGCTCTTATATTGGACACGTCATGCAATCACACCGTACTTGGGTTGTAAGTTGACTACCAGCATTAACGCACCACCAACATGCTGGGGCGTCCGATTTCAAGACTTCAGTGCACCTTGCGGATCAAGAAGATGGCGCGGATATATATGATGATTGGACTTCGGCCTTCGCACTTTCTTTGCATCATTAGGGCCTGAGCACAAGGACAACAGCATCATTACTTCCAAGCACAGATCTAAAGTGGACAACACGTGCAAAGGCGAATACGTTTTGCCGCGGCAATGATTTACGCAGGCTGAGTCCCAATTGCCTCGAAGCATCTCGTCTGATCCTTTATTGATCCATACGTGAGCCGTTTAGCCTGCTTGCGAGTCGATGTCGACGTCCCCAAGACGTCTGCCAATGTCGCAATACGCACGAAAGCGACCTACACAGCGAGCCTTGCCCTTCAATCCATGCGCGAGGTGCTGCAACAGCAGCGGTGCAGCTTCCTGCCGTACTTACATGCTCTTCTTTCCCATTTGCGCCAGCATGTTCTGCAACAAAGGGAATCCGCCCGTCTGTGAGATTGGTGCAGCCAACATTCGGCCTTACATCCTCACTCCCACAAGCTGCGCAGAAGCGGTCTGTACGTCCAGAGGCAAGCTCAGCGTTGTCGCCTGTCCCCCATTGACATTTCGGGTAGGCGAAGGCGAGATGTAGTGAGGCAGAGTAACTTGACCGACACATAGCAATATGGACTACCGAAGAGCGGCTTTGTTTCAAGAGGGCCGACGGCCCGTGCTGCTGCCTCACCTTGAGCATGGGCACGATGGCGGGATTGGCCGCCAGGAAGGTTGCCATCTTGGCCCTGTCCTTCAGCAGCCCCTGTAACCATACCGCCACAAACTAGCAGTCAGGACGCACCCAGACCAAGGCTCTTGACACGACGATATTTTGCTCCGTGAAGAAGGGTTGAGTTGTGAGAAAGGGGACTTGTGGAGGCCGCGAGACCATCTGGCAAGTTTCCAGAGACATTTTATCGGCCAGGTCTTTTGGATTACAATGAAGCTGGTTGTGCTGCTTGCCATCTGAAGCACAGAGCTAGACTCTAGCAGCAGTTTCTAGGTTACTGCACCACCTCCGTTCCCACGGATAGGCAGAGCAATGCTTTCCCTTACGACGAGGTGCCAGGTACACAGGCAGGGAGTATGGCGAGACTGCTCTGATCAAGTAGCTGAGAGCCTGCCGTTCCAGGCTGCGCACCCACCTGGATGAAGCCTGGTTGTTTCAAGATCTCCTGCAGCTTCCCCATCATCTCCGTCGTCTTCGCCTGGACAGGCCGGGGAGCCGACGGCCCCGCCTGCGCACCCTGGGGCGCGCCTCCCTGTGCAGCGGCGGGCTGCATCTGCTGCGATTGTACCCCAACCGGCGCGGCCCCCTGGCCGCCATACCGGGGTTGCTGCTGCGTTGGCCAGGCCTGTGCCTGGGAAATGCCCGGGCTGGGCTGCTGCTGAGACGGCATGCTTTGCCCGTACGCTTGTTGGGGGCCCCTTTGGGCCTGCACGCCACCCCCCGGCGAGGGCTGCTTCTGCCAACCTGGAGCTACCGGCACGGGCGGGCTGGCGGCGCCGAAAGAATCCGAACGGCCCATGAGGCGAGGGTCCGCGCGCCGGCGGGGATCCGCGGTCGGCAGGGCTGGGACTCCGGAGGCGGCTCTCCGGGAATCGTGGGCCGGGGGCTGGGAGGGAGCCTCGGGTCGCTGCGCCTGAGTCGGGGCACCAGCTTGCATGGCCGCTCGCCGAGGATCTGCGCTGGGGCCGGCCTCGGGCTGAGGCGCGGCGCTTCTTCTGGGGTCGAAAGACTGCTGCTGGGGCGCTGTAGCCCGCCTTGGGTCGGCTGACGGGGGCGCTGGGCCTCGTAGAGACGTCTCTGCTGGGGACGCAGCCATCGGCGGTTGCCGACGCGGGTCTGCAAAGGACGCCTGACTCTGGGGCGGGGCTGGCACTGGCTGCGGGGACTTGAACGGCTGGGGCTTGTCGGCAGAGGCGCGGTCTGCTGTTTGCGCGACCTCGTGCAGTGGTTTGGGCCAGGCCGCCGGAACGGGCTTGGGCGCTGGCGAGGGAGGCGTGGGGCTGGGCAGGGGAATGTATGCCGACTGGATGGGGGGCCGCACCATTGGGGGCAGCGGCGCTCGAGCCGGCTGCTGTGGAGGGGGCGGCTGAACAGGCCTTGCGGGAGCCTGCAGATGAGCCCCTGGTGGCCGCATTGGCACGGCTCTCGCTTCCGGTTTCGCCCCAGTTGGGGCCGCTTGGCTGACAACCACCTTTGCGGGGTCGACCCGCGGCTTGACCACCGCGGCTTGGCCCGCCAGTCTGACGACTGCGGCGGTCGGCGCCCGCACCACCACGGGCTTGGCCCCTGCTGACGTCACCAGCGGCACGGCCCCTGGTTCCGCGGCCGGCTGCAGCGGCGCCCCGACCACGGTGCGGCCCTTCTCACTCTCGAGCTTCATGAAGTCGTCCACCCGGATGCTGGGCGCGCGGCCGCCGGTGTGAATGCGCGCCGCCGTGGCCTGCGCGGGGACCGCCACCGCGCCGCCCTTCTGCGCCATGAAGTCGTCCACGTGCATCGACGGCGGGCGCCCCGTGTTCTGCCTCCGTGCCCGGAACGGGTCCTTTCGGGCGGCGAGCGTTGCGGCCGCTGCCTGCGCCGCTGTCTGCGCAGCCGTCTGTTTCTTCGCTTGCGCTTCATTTGCGTCCCCCTCGGCTTTCCGCTTGAGGCTCGGCTTTGGGGCGGGGGGCCATACGATGTCGGTGCTGTACTGCCAGGGCACGCGTTCGCTCCAGGCCTGGTCCTGGGGGCGCTGCTCGATGCGAATACTCCCTTCTTCCTTGAACGACACCCAGCCCTCCAGCGAGCGCGTCCACTCCCCGTCCCCATTCACATTGTCCCGGGGAGAGGCGCCTGGCCGTAAAGCGACGCGGTTGGGCCCTTCTTCCAGCTTGGCTTTCGCCGCGCGGGCCGCTGCCGCCTCCTCAAATTGTTCGGTCAGGTCCCGGGGCGCGTCAAAGGCAGCAGCCTGCGCTGTCAGTTCTGCGAGCGCAGCCTCTGGGCTGGGCGCTGCTTCTGCTCCGACAGAGGTTAAGACGTCCGCCAGGGAGGAGGACAGGCTGAAGTCCTGCAGAAAGCGGAAAGGAGAGATTCCATGAGCAAGAGCAGCTTCAGAACATACTAAAGCGAAGGCTGACATGATTCTGTTGGGGGCTTGCTTCAACACGCGGAGTCCCAAAATTGAACCATCTAACATGATGCAACATGGGCGAAGGTTCACTTTGTGCAGTCCCAAATTGAGGATGTTAAAGACGAATCTAATCTCATGCGAAGTAACCAGTTAGAAAAGCCTCACTAAGCATGCAACAAACTTTTACTTTTCCATCCACTCTGTCGCACTTACCTTTTTGACACTCTTTGCGGAGGGTCCCTGAATGGTGTGCACCACCTCCCCTAGCAGTGTCACCACCTGTTGCACTGGCCCTCCCACAAAGTTCGCCCCTTCAAACAAGCGCCGGAGCGCCCTCCTGCCATGCTCGCTCTTCCCTCCATCCGCTAGCGCCAGCCCCACCCCTGCTGCAGACCCCAGCAGCTTGCCAAGCTCCGAGCCACCAGACGCCTTCACACTGCTCGTCAGAGCTGCCGCCAGGGCCTCCCAGAGCAGTGTGAACGCGCCTTTGCTCCCGACTCCTTCGTCCATGGGCTCAACGTCCGAAGTCGCATCCCCACCTTTCCAAGCCACCGTCGCAATCGCGTTTCTTCCCCGGTCGTTCCCTGCTAGGAGGCCCAGCACCCGCAGTGCTGCCGCCATTCTCCCGTCCTTCACGTGCAGTGTCGAGACAGTCTCCAGCAGGGCCGCTGCCACCGCCTGGCTTTGCTCGTGGGGGGGCGCCGCCTCCACCATTCGCTGCCCCTCGGGGGCCTGCGGCGTCAGGCACACCGCAGGGTTCACCAGATTCTGCAGCACCCCCAGGGAGCCTATCCCAAGGCGCGCGCCGAGAGCCGCCGGGACGCCCGCTGACCTCAGCAAAGACGTCATCTGCGCAGCGACGGGCAGCGCTTGGAGCCCGGCTTTTACTGCAGGGCTTTGCACGAGATAGCCCAAGAGATTTAGGGCGCGGACGAGACGCCAGCCGCGTGCGTCCCGCTCCGGAGGGGAGGCCTCGTCGGGGCCAGGTGCGTCGGCGAGGAAGTCGGAGATGGCGGACTGGAGCGGGGCGTACAGGTGGCGCGTCAGGGCCTGGCTGTGGTCGGCCCCCAAGGCGCACACGCGTGACGAGAGGCGGGCAAGCGCCTCTTGAAGGGGCTGGCACGACTGCGGAAGAACGACGGAGGGAGAGAGTGAGCAGGGGAACAGAAAACGGGGAGGTGAGAGCTCTACAAAGAACGTTTGTGAAACTTTGAAGGCGCGTTGCCAGGATTTTAAGGGGGACACAAGACGCCGATCTCAAACAGGTCTTGCCTTGTATACCGAAGGCAGACACGTCAAACCGCGCAAAAAGATCCTGAGTACTGCAGAACCCCAAGGATGAGATGAAGCGTTCAACACTTACCGTGAGAGCGAGTCGGCCCATGCTGGCCCCCAGTGCCTCGACATGCAGCGCCAGCGCCTTGGCCAGCTTCTCGCCCTGCTTGTGGCTCCACGTGTGCAGGCCTGCGCTGGCGGGGCCCAGCACGCTGCCGGCCGCAATGACGGGTAGGCCGTCGTGCAGCGCGCGCAGCGAGTGGGCGTGCGCGGGGGCGGGAGGGTACTCCTCGGGGAGAATGTCCGCCTGAGCAAGGGACAGGCAAAGAGTGTGAAAAACACAAACGACTGGACCAAGTATGAAACGCGCTTTCTAAGATTGACACACCTATTGCTTCCAGCTCTGTCGGACTCAAGAAACCAGTGTTTGCTTCGACGATGACTACAACGACTTCAAGGCAATGCCCACTACACCCAAGGACATACGGCTCGTGCACTTGTAGCGTCTCAGGATGCCTGGCACAAACTACCGGTGCCTGCCCAATCGGCATCGGGTATGAGCATACCGACTGGCTGACGTTCGTGCTGGATTCCCAGAGCCACTGGGGAAAGTCAGGGCGAGTGGCCGCTCACCAGCAGTTGCAGAAGCCCCAGGACCGCCCGGGGCGCCTCCCCGGCCACCGTCCCTGCCTCCTGGGGCAGAGCCGCCAGCAGCTTCGGCAGCAAAGCGGGGCCCCACCGGGCGTCGACCGCCCAGAAGGCGACCACGGACGCCAGGCCCTGGCGCACCGCGTGCAGGAGCAGGGTGTTGCCGGACGGGGAGACCTTCAGGACGTCCGCAGTGTACGCAGGGCGGGAGCTGGAGAGGGTAGAGCACATGAGCCGCACAGCGGAAATTCAAAATCAAGCATGTCACAACATTCGAAAGCATCACCACCTGGCGGCCCAACTGCAGGAGTGGCTTCGAGAACAACGAAGATATACCATATGGAGCATTGCATGCGGATACAAGACCTAAGCGAGTGCGTCAAAGGGGCTCTTGCGACGTATCGGAAACGAAGTTTGCCATCATCGCTCGTACCTGAGGGCCGAGTTGAGCGTCAGCAGGGCAGTCACCAGGGGCGTGTTGCGGTACTGGACGCCAGAAGACTGCGCGAAGCAGCAACAGGGACAGCTGTCATTGGACGAGTTTCACTTCTCGCTGAGACTCAAACCGAAGGAACAGACGTCAAAAGGCAAACTACTAGGATCAAGTCTTTCTATCTTTTCCACGTCCATCCGTCAACACACGAAAAGCCCGCAAAGAAGGGGTAGAAGCCCATCGTCTCGGCCGCTTCTTGACAGGGTCAAGGTGAGATATGTATAATACGGCTGTGAGCTGCTTCTTACCTGGAGCTTTGTGAGCAGCAGGGTGGTGAGGGAAAGCGCAGGCAGCAGCAGCAGCAAGATGCGCCGCTCCTGCTGGGCCTCCGCAAGCTCGGCAATGGCGCCAGCTTCCACGTGGTCCGCAGGCACATCTGCGATGCAGAATTGATATAACCACTCAGTAATGGCTGGGCTATCTCTTGGCCGAGGCAGCCGACAAAAGCTTTGCCAGCTAACCAGCTTGTAAAGATTTACTCTCGCAGTGAATCCTTAGGAATCTCTGATACCGTATGAAAGACGCCCTTTCGAATAAGTGAGAAAGGACACGATATTCTCGAGTCGGGATCTCCAAACTCTCACTATGTAGAGGTATCTGACAGCATGTACATGGGGTGGTCGGCTCTCTACTCACCAAAGTAGGTGGGCAGATCGTCTAGAGCCTGGGCAGCCTGTGCGAACACCTGCAGCAGCACCTCTACCCCGCCCGCATCGTACAGCGTTGCAGATACGGCCTGCAGAAACAGAAGTTCGGTCAGACATGGCTGCTTGCATTAGCCCCTGCGGTATTTGTGTGGGTCATAACTTTGCAGAGCTGGGCGTTCTGTGCAAAACGATGCTGAAGAAGCAGTCTGGGCTTGGGCAGTAGAAGTCAGCGCGTCTCTTGCTCGAGCCGTCAAAGACAAACTGCGAACATGCCTTCACTGAGGAAGTTTGACTGAAAGAAGGTCGACGTTCATGGAGTATCTCCAAAAGGAATGCCGCAACATTCCGCTTCGTCTGCATGCTTCCCTACGCCTCGACCTACTCAACAGCTTCCAACACATGCTTGGCAGGACAGCGCTGAGGTAAATGCACCACCAACACGAGAGGCCGTCTAGGCCAGCTCACCGGATGCACTGCCAGGGCGGCCAGCAATCGCAGCGCCACCGTGGCGTTTGCGGCCGCCGCAGGGGACGCGAGCAGTGCCCTTTCCAGCTCGTCTTTGGCCGCCAGCCCTAGGTCCGTATCGTCGGGCGCGTGCGCCAGGTGGTACCCCTGCAAGTTGAACCCCAGCTCCGCAGCGGGGCCCTTCCGGAGGCCCGTCAGCAGGGCCAGCAGCTGCAGCAACGCGAGCGGCCCTTCTTTCTTCCAGACTACGGTGGGCGCACTCCAGCTGGTGAGGACGCTGGTTAGCGGGTAGACCGAGGCGTCGGACTCGGGAACGGGAGTGTGGGACGAGGGCTGCATGCCCTGCGCCGCGATAGCAGCCTGCAGGTGGAGGCCCTGTGGGGCGGAGACAGCAAGGGCGGCGGGGCTGGGGTCGGTGAGCAGGGCTAAGAGGATCAGGCCAATGTAGTGTGGCAGGATGGACGCCTCGGGCACAGGGCTCTCGTCCGTCGCACTGGGCAGATGCGAGGCTTCAGGGGCCTGGTGCATCAGCAGCTGGAGCAGGCCCGGCAGCGCCTCTGGGAGGCTCAGAACCGCCACCACCGCCTGCCGACTCGACTCGGAAGCCGCCATCTGGCTGAGCTCCTTGGCCGCTGACAAGGCCTCAAGGGAAGCCTCCCGCACGCTCTGTTCACTCGCCCCGCCCCTCTCTTCTCCAGCCTGATGCTGGCCCCCTGCGGCAGTGAGCACCTTAGCTGCTGCCAGGAGCGCGTCGAGCAAGCTAACAGCCCGCACCCCCTCCCCGAGCAGGCGCGCCAGCTGGCACCCGCTGCACAGCTCCGTAGCCCCAATTGCAAGCATGGTCGCCAGCTGGCGCTGCGGGACCGCCCTTTCGTGCTCCAGCGTGGTGTTTCGGTCCTGCTTGCTGGCACTGCCCTCGAGTGCAATCACAAGAGCGCGCACCGAGGCGGGCTGCTCCCCAAGAAACAGTAGCCCCGCCCGCGTCTCCAGCATCGGAACTGCCAGCGCCCAGGTGGCACCCACGAGCCCCGCAGCCGCCCGCACCGTTCCCCGCTGCGCTCTCCTAACGACGGGAGACGCCAAGAGCGCTGCGAGCATCCCCAGAAGCTGCCGGTCTTTCAAGAGAGCCCACAGTGCAGGATCGCTCGCATCGCCCGTCTCCGGCCCGTGTGCTCTTGCCAAAGAGACTTCGTTGAGATCGACGCTGGTCGACAAAGATGCCATCGGCGGGGGCCAATCTCCCAGTGCCGTGTCCCCCTCAGTGACAACAGAGACAATCTCCTGCAGTAGGTTTGCTGCCATACGGATGCTTGCACCAGCGTGCCGGCGAAACTGCTGATCCTCGTCAGAAAGAAGGATCTCCCGTCCAATTTGGTTGAAGTCAGACACCAGCTCATACAGCCTCAGCCGCTTGAGGAGCCGCGCTGCGAAGAGGGCTGTCCGGCGGGGCTGGGGTTTCAGGAGAACAGAGAGAAGCGCTCCGTACGCCTTACTTGGCCCCCGCAATTTGCTCGACCCCTGCGATTGCCCATTCACTCCACGTCGCTTTTCCCCGTCTTCCCCATCAACCTCCATCGGCTCAGGTTTGGCTTCAGCCCCCGTCTTTGCTGGGCCGCTTATTCCACCCGAGGTGGCGCCGGGCAGCCACCAGCCCAGAAGTGCCTCACAGCCAAACCCGTGGCTGGTGACGCGGCTGAGGCAAGCCAGGACCCGCAGCTTGACCGCTGGCGACATCTGCTCACGGGCCAGCAGATCAATAAGCAGGGCGGCCCCTCCGTAAGCCAAAAACCGATAGCACGTCGTGACATGGGAACACGCCACCAGGCCTGCACACAGGCCCGCAGGCAACATGGAGCCCCCTTCCGCGAGCCACCGGATCGCGACCTGCACCCCACTCTCCCATGCCGTCTCCCCCGCTGCCGAACCGTCCCCGTACTCCGCGCTGGCCAGTTGACCACTACCGGAAACGTCAGCAGGGCCCTCCGCCTCGCCCCCAAAGACTGCGCCCAAACTTGCTGCCTCGACTTGACTTGCCGCTTCTGCGATACTCGAGAGGGACCAATGGGTGCCCCGGGGGCCCAACTCTGGCCGACCTGACTGCTCCCATGCTTCCCCTGCTTGTAGCAGCGGCAGAAGCCAGGACGTTCTGCCGGCTTCCGGGGGTGAGAGAGCAAGGGCCCGCAGCCCGCTAGTGGCTCTCTTTGCGACAAACGAGGGGGCGGCATCTATGAGAAGAGGGTTTGCGGCGTTGGCAGCCTTTGCCCCAGTTGCATCCGCTTCATCAGGAATGGTGGCGCCGTAGATGATGAGTGACAGGTTCTGGTAGTTGCCACGGAACACGAGGTGGCGCGTGACCACAGGCTGTTCAGAAGAGCGGAAATTGGTTAGAAGGAAGGCGGGGCTTGATAATCATTGACAAGGAAGCCCCAGCAGATACTTGTGACTCTTACTGGACAGGTGCCCGCATGCTGACAGTCAGCAAACGTAGTTGCTACCTTCATTTACAAATCTATCAAAGTCCGCCAACTTAGAAGCAGCACACATATTGAGCGCCCACCTGCGGATCAATTGATTCCTTGCCACCGTCAGCCACCCAGGATATCTGTGGGCCCAACTTCTGAAAGTGGCTGGCGTTTTGGTCGCCATTGTGGTAGAAGACTTGGAGGTTAAAGGGTGGCGGAGATGTCAGACTGCACCAAGAAGCAGGACACTTGATTGTTGAGATGAGCAGAAGCGAAAGATATAAGATGCATCCACGTTTAGCGGGTTGCCAAAGACAACTTAAGAATCCTTTGCAATGCAAGTAAAGAGGTTGCATGCGGTCCTTTCGACGGTCACTGTTTCAATGCGTTTTCTCTAACTACTAGACGTGCAAGGGGGCTGACCTGAAGAATTCCAGGAGCTCCGGTTCTGGGTTGCCGTCCTTGGGCACAATGTGGCACGCGCTGACAATCACAGGTTTCTTGAACAGAACCTGCATCAATTCAGAAAGGATATGTTTTCTACTGTCCAGCAGACAGCCTCCACTAAAGCAGCAGAACGGATCATCACCAGAAGCAGAAGCATCACCAAAAATAGACAAATGCAGGAAAACCACCATTTGGAAGAAACTGCGCCGCAGAGAAACTCACCTCGTCAACATGATCTGCAGCCGCCTCGTGCAGGAAAGAATCACAGTACAGGACTTCCATGTTGCTATGAATTTCTAAAAGCGCTCAGCCCTTGAGCTTGAACGCCATTCTGACCTCGATTGGTTGGAATGTAGCTCCATTCAAGACGCAGCCATAATGTTGAATAACTAGGGCGAGACGCCTGTAGATTAACTGCAGGTAATTTTGAACCGTTGCCGACCGAGAATATCCGATCCCTTACCATTCCTAGTGACCGTGCTCGCTTTACGAGTCGCTACGCGGCCGCCCACATCGCGTTGGGCCGGGGCGGGCCTGCGGCCGCCAGCCAATGATGCCAGACCGATGGTAACGGTGTGCGGTAATGGTGAGTCGCGAGTTCACCTTGCCAGTTGTGCCAAGATTCTTTTCGAGAATCTTGACACTCCCAGGACCTTCAAGGAGGTCTTACCGCCGCGACCCGCTGTGGAGTGTTTAGTGGATTCAGTTGGATTCCCTCTGTGTTCATAGCCGCAGCCGTTGGCTCCTGTGGAGCTTGAAGACCATGACTGCATGCAGCTGCCTCCACTTCCACTAATTGGGCTGCTCTAAACACCTCTGATTTCTGTAGGTGGTGGTGGCGCCCGTTCAGCTGGTTCAAAGGCTCTGCACAAGAGGCTGCAGCTTGTCAATCAAGCAGCAACCAGGCTTTCTTTGTGTTGCTGAAGGTGTCGTTCAGATCTAATCAGACTCGGGCTCAGTTACTGCGAAGCGTGTGAGAAAGCTTCTTGATTACAAAAGGTGAGGGCGCTTGGGTCTGTGATAGATCTGTCGTGCCAAGGTCCAACTGCAACTGGTATGTTCTTTCTGTGTGCATATGAGCTGAAGGGACCCTCACGTGGGCTTGTTCAGGCTACAGCCTTTTTGCATGGTTTTGTTCTGATCGGCCTCGTGATGCAAGAAAGACGATGGTGGTAAACCTTGAGGAGTCTGGCTCTGTTCCTCGGTCCTTTGCTTTCTCAGCTCGGTGGTGAGACATACCTAGCAGACAAAGTGTTGGAGCCCAAAGCCCATCTCGATCAGGCTCAATCAATGGCCAGATGATTCGTAGATAGCAAATTCGGCTCAGAGATTCTGGACGGTTTCATTTGGTTGAGTTGAGCAGGAGGACATCTTTGAGCAGCTCCCTTTTTATTACTTGTGTAGCCCTGCTTGTTATCCTTTTTAGCAGTTAGAGATCTAGCAGCTGAGTAGGCTTGGTAACGTTGAGGTTAGCTGGAGGTTAGCTCCCGCTTCGGGACTGTCTGATGTTAGCTCAGATCATCCTTTTCAGACCTGGCCCTTCAGTCCAGAATTAGGGTTTTGGTGCCTTCAACTTCTACAACGGGGCCTGTGTCTATGTCAACTTTAGAAATATTCAAAGTCCCAAATCAGTTGTCTGCTTGAAGACCTGCTAAGTCTGGTATTGGCGGAAGTATATTTTGAATAGACACCCTTCTGTTGCGTTGGAGGAGTTGTCTGATGTTTGCCCCAGCTCTGAGAAAACTGCTCATTGTTCCAGGATGAAGAAAGGGAAGGACTCAGGCAAGGGTCCGCCCCCCAAGGCGAATGGCAAGTCCACCACCCCTCCGACCACTCCTGCAAAGAGTCGGGGGGGCATAACTGTTATGAACCGCAGCGGAACCCCGCCTCCTAGTGGGGGCATCACACTTATCGGCAAAAAGGCAGAGGGTTTGACGCTGATTGGCAAAAATGCGGAAGCAAACGGGGGGATCACCCTGATTGGAAAGAAGGCTGAGCAGAACGGTGTGCCCACTCCAATTGGGAAGAAAGCCGACACTACTGCGGGGATATCGTTGATCCGCAAGTCCCAATCAAGCAACGAGCTGCCCCCACAAGGCTTGCCGCCGTCTGGGCGGCCAGCTTCGCAAGCCTCCTCCTCAGGGAACGCTCCGGAGGTGGCCCTTGTTCGCAGATCTCACTCAGCAACTGACATTGCGGCCCAGGAGATGGAAGAGCTCCGGCTTTACTCAGAAGGTGACCCCGGCGCTTGACTGGTGCCTCTTGTAATCTGTTGGATTGCGCCAGACCTTTGTACCTAAGAAGAATGCACTTAAGGAACGCATTGATTAGTGCCTTACCTTCTCTGATGGGGACATTTGTCAGTTTCATACTACCCGCACTTCTGAAAGGTCGTGAGCTTGCAGTCAGGGCTCACTCGACCTTGTCTCCTCTTTGAGGTAGCGCTCTTTCGTGAAGCTGTTTGGCGTTAAAGGCTTGGTGACTAAGAGTTCAGCTGCTTTTGCTTTCCTGTGACTTTTCTTGGGCGAGATCTTTCATACATAGAATCAAACGTCGTTCCTGGACACGTTTCCAAGAAGATTTGCAGTTTTCAAAGCACAGCAACTAATCTGATTAAGCTGCTGTCTAAGCTATGTTCAAACATCATTTGACAACATTATTGTCTTGTGGCTGCAGAGGAGGTCCAGGACACTGCCAAGATGTGGGTGCACCTCACGGAGGGGGCCTCTGTTGGCGAGCGCCAAGGGGCGGCAGCGGCGCTGGCGGGGCAAGTGAAGGCCAACGGGATTGCGTCCCTTGAGGTGTGTGCTTCTGTTCTCAATTTCGCAAGGGGCCAATATTCAATGTCTCCCAGCCCTACTCGAACAACCTGGATGCCTTTAGGAGCTGCAAGTAGGAGGCTGCTATAGAAGTCGCATTGGACCTGGCGCTGGCTTAGGTTACTTCCTAGGTGCCTGGGACTATATATGAAGAGGCTCTTCTGATTCCTCTCCCTATCCTGCGCAGGCTGGTGGCCTGGTTGCCAAGATTGCGGAGGGCCTGCAGGACTCCAAGAACCCGCTGGTGCGCGAGGGCTCCCTGCGCTTCATCCGCACGCTAAGCGAGGTCAAGGGGAGCGCGGTGGAGCCAGTGGTGGTGCCTATGCTGCCCCAGGTGAGAGCTAGAAGAATCAGAGAAGTCTTGTACACATGCATCATTTCAGATTTGCATAGCCAGGGATTTCGGAAGGAGGCAGTGGGCTGTGGGTGGCGTTGCTGTACTTACTGGTCGGGCACTGGGAATCTCAGCCCCAGTCTGCGAGCTTGGTTGCTCTCGTGTTGCTAGCACTCATATCGTTTTCTCCCCTCGCAAAAGTATCTCTTTTTTGTAGTGGCCGAATTTCCTCAACGTAGCGTCGCTTCCGCCTCAGGTGCTGATGTTGTACTGCGACAAGTGGGTAGGTGTCCGGTCCGCTGCCGAGGCCGCTGCCACGGAGGTGGTTCGCAAGCTGAACAAGCACGCGGTCAAGGCTACCCTGCCCAGTGAGTCTGCGCTTGTTTCAGTTCTCGCTTTGAGTCGTACTGCAGTGCAACCGCTGGAGACCGAGTCTTTACTTCTGTAGCTCTTCATTGACGCTTTGAGGCCGTGTTGCTGTCACGTAGGAAGAGTTGGAGCTGTCGACGCCACTATGTTTTCGTACAAGACATAATCAGGCTCCATACTTTTTTTCTTTGGGCCGCAGCCGTATGCAAACCTTTGAGATCTGGTCTCGAGAGCAGGTCTTGTAATCGACTATTCAAAGGCCTCAAGTTGTGAGGGTCGCTGGTAGTCTTTCTTACGCCTCCGGGGACGTTTTCTTCTTCGTCCTCTCCCCACGTCTTGACCCCAGCATCTCGCTGTTGACAGTTTTCTTTGACGCCATGGAGAGCCCCAAGTTCTGGCAGGCCCAGGAGGGCAGCCTGAAGCTGATTGGGCTGCTGGCCGAGACTGCGCCCGACCAGCTGCGGGCCGCCCTGCCGGAGGTGGTTCCCCGCGTGTCCAACTACGTGGCAGACGGCAAGAAGCAAGTCATGGAGGCAGCATATGCAGGTACGTGCTGGCACTGCAGCCCAGTGCGACTGGATAAAAGCTTGGGTTTGTCCCTGCCGTATTGACCTCGAGATTGTTCAAAGCCACGTATGCGTGTGCAGAAGAAACATGTGCCTGCACGGACGTGCACTTCCTATGCTGATCCGCTTGCACATGAGAGTCTCCGTCTAACGCTCTCGACCTCGGATTCTCAGCCGTTGCCACGATTGTGTGCAGCTTTGGACGCGTGCTTCAGCATCGTGGGCAACCGCGACATCGCCCACGTCATCCCGGACCTGGTCAGCTGCGTTGCGAGGCCGGGCGAGGTCCCGCAGACCGTCCACAAGCTGTCCGGAACCACGTTCGTACAGGTGGGCAGCCAGTCATTTGAAAGATTCGACCGTTTTGGGACAACCAGGTGCACCTACTGGTTTTCGCAGCCCTTTGTGTCGGCTTGCTCTCCGGCTGGCAGCAGTTGGAAAGTAAGTTTTGTTAGGTGGTATTTTGATTCCTGAGACTCTTAGGATAAGCATGTTCCTGCCTGCGGGGCTTCACCTGGGCACTTAAGGTGAAGCCCGTTCGCAAGAGAGTGGGCAATGCTCAATGCTTCCATTAGAGCTCAACCAGCGGCTTTGCTGACGTGTGGCCGTTCCTACGCAGACGGTGACGTCATCGACACTGTCGGTGCTGGTGCCGTTGCTGGTGCGGGGGCTTAAGGAGCGCACGACGCTGGACAAGCGGCGAACCGTGGTGGTCATTGAGAACATGAGCAAGCTCGTCAAGGACGCCGTTGACGCAGCGCCCTTCATCCCGCAGCTCCTTCCAGGTGGGTCCGCACTGTTTGCTTCTATCGAGAGATTACAGTTGGGCACGAAGGAATTGGCAGCTTTGTGGGACACGGAGATGTCCAAATCTGAAGCCGCTTTCGCACCGAAAGGCGTGCGAGAACGTGCTTCAACGGGTGACGTATGTCTGCTGGCTGCCGGGTAGATCGATCGAGAGAAAAAGCAAGCTGAGCTCACCCACTGTCGATCAGTCGGTGTGTCGTCTGCGAGTACGCGGAGGTAGATTCACACGTTCTTCATCGATGCTGATTCGTCAAATCCGCCCGTCCTTTCTCCCAGGCTTGGAGAAGGTGTCCAACGAGGTGGCGGACCCCGAGTGCCGCGAGCGCGCGGGCGTGGCGCACAGCGTGCTCTTCAACATCGACAAGGAGGCCAAGGCCATCATGAACGACCCCGAGAACCAGGCGCGCAGCATCGAGCCCGCTGCCGTCATCGCCGCCCTCAAGGTCAGAACCAGGCACCGACAAACGTAGTCAGCGAAGAAAAGGACCCTTACTAAGGCTTATGCAATTGTCATTTTCAGTCTGCGGTTCCTCACACTCTTTCAGAAAGATCTCTATTCTCCAAGTCAGAAGTAGTGTCCTGGGCGAGCAAGCCGTTCTCTTCAGTGTCGAAGCGTCAAGTTGAACAATCTGTTTGCGTGCTGCTGCTCGCAGGAAGTTCTTCCCCCTGACACTGGGGCCGCTGCGCCGGACCTCTTTGCAAAGACGCTGGATTACGTGGCGGCGCTGTGTGTTCTCCTGCTCAAACACAAGTCGATCGAGTTTGAAGGTGGGCACCGATAGGCTTTTTGCACCCAACTGCTCTCTACACGCTCCTTTTTTCTCTCGCCGAGCTATTTGCCTGCATAGATTATACGCAGTGCTGAGTCAGCACAGTCAGATTGCCCAAGTCAAAGTTCCGTCTCGACAGCTGTTCAATGGCAAGCAGCTGATGGCATGTCGAGTGTGCACGGCCATTGTTAATAGGGCGTCGGATCCTGGGGTACACCCGCGCATTCGAGTCTTGAGAAAAATTCCCATCTGACGGCTCAGGTCCCATTCTGAGAAGTGTCTTGGGCGACCGAAGTAGTTCCATGGGTCAGTATCTGGTCGTCTGAGGGAGGACTGGTCTCCCGACGCCCTCTTTGCAATCCTGGTACGCTCTTGTGAGCAGCACCTCATCCCTACGCTTTCTGCGTTCGTTGCAGAGTGGTCTGGCACGGTGAGCCCGTACCTGGCGCCGTACGTGGGCAGCATGTCGGAGGCGGAGAAGGCGACCCGCGCGCTGGTGAAGAAGCTGGAGGGCGAAGCGGACGACGACAGCGAGGAGGAGCAGGACGACGAGGAGGGGGAAGACCTCTGCAACGTCAGGTTCAGGTCAGCGCAGCGCACTTTTAAAAAGTTCCCGCAGGCTGCCCCAAACATCTGGCTCTTCTAGATTCCTGGTACCACTTTGCATAGGCAGGCTAAAGGTTTTACTTGTAATGAGGAGCTGGCTCGGGTGCGAAGATATTTGGAACTACTTTGTGAACGTCAAGTATAGACCTCCTCTGGTTGCCGGACGGGTTGGTGGAGGAGTGCACTCAGAAAGACCTCCAGATGCTTTTCTCGCTGCAATGGGTAAGTCAACAGTTTCAGGGGTTCTCACTGCTACTGATACCGTATCTGCGTTGTCACGGCAGCCTGGGCTACGGTGGCAAGATCCTGCTGAACAACTCGCGGCTGCACCTGAAGCGCAACCGGCGGTACGGCCTGTGCGGGCACAACGGGTGCGGCAAGTCGACGCTGATGAAGGCCATGGCCAACGGCAAGCTGGACGGATTCCCGCCCCCGGACGAGCTGCGGACGGTGTACGTAGCGCACGATCTGGACGCGTCCGAAGCGGACCAGTCGGTCGTCGACCTGCTGGCGACCGACCCCCTCATCAAGGGAGTCTGTGAGTCGCCGCTCTTGTCTCGGTATTCGAGCTTTGCGTGGAGACCGGTCTGCTACGAAAGCGCTCTTTGTGAAGTTTCTCTCGTGAGCTGCCAAGGCTTGCGAGGGGGGTTGCCGTTTGCATTCGTTTGACATACTGTGAAGCGGTATTTGGAGGTCACCGGCTGGCGAGCTTACGGTGCCCGTGCGCCACTTTTCGTCCCCTCAAGACGACATCCTCTCGACTTGCGGTGCCAGCCTCGCTGACTCGGCCTGTTTCGGTTCCGCGCAGCTCGAGAGGAGATCTGCCGAGTGCTGTCGACGATGGGCTTCGACGAGGAGCGCCAGCAGCTGACCATTGCGGCCCTGTCAGGAGGGTGGAAGATGAAGCTAGCGCTCGGGCGAGCCATGCTCATGAAGGCAGATATCTTGGTACGTATCCTCCTCCACACTCTGCCCTACCGATTTGCATTTTGCGCATCATCTTTATTCTACGATCCATTCGATGCCCTTCGCGAGTGCCGTAGCATCCTAGGGCTGGCGTTCCTTGTGTATGTGGTGATTGCTGACGTGTCGACATGCTTGGGCCGCAGTTGTTGGACGAGCCGACGAACCACATGGACGTGACAAACGTGGCGTGGCTCGTGAACTACTTGACGACCATCCAGGTAAAACCCCCGGATGGCCCGGAGGCGAACTCGCCCTCGAATGAAGCATTTAAAACGTTGGGTTTTGATTTAAGTTGCGTGTCAGTACGATGAAACTGACATTGCCTTAACAGCCCAAGGTCAGTGCGATAACTCTCTGTCGCATTGACATTTACGATACAAGCACCCCAGTGACCTGCCGTAGAAAGGCGGAGTGTCCAGGATATATCCAGGGGAACATCTGTCCGGGAGTGGGCTCTGGCAGACCCCCTACAATGCCCCTATCCTGGCTATGTCTGAGGCTGGTGCTGCTGTGTGTGTAGGGCGTGTCGAGCATCATCGTGAGCCACGACTCGGGCTTCCTGGACAATGTGTGCACTGACATCATCCACTACGAGAAGCGCAAGCTCGTGCGCTACAAGGGCAACCTCTCCGAGTTCGTCAAGGTCAGCACCATGCCACTTCACCGCCCCTGGCGGCCCGCTCCGCTTTAGACTCCTGGAGCGAGCGAATCTACATCGCCATTTACGTGCTTCGAGTCGGGTGCCAGCCACCTGAGAGCAAATCACCTCCTTTTAGTCGCTTGCTCGCTGTGTTGAGCAAGGGGAATGCGAGGACCAAATTTCTCTCAGCGCCTTCCATCATTGCGGGAGGCTTCTCTTTCTCTCATTAGCCCATAAGCTCATGAATTCTCTTTCCTATTGCCCCGCAGCAAAAGCCTGAGGCGCGCGCGTACTACGACCTGAACGTGGTGACGCTCAAGTTCGTGTTCCCGGCGCCAAAGGCGCTGGACGGCATCCTGCGGCGCGACATGCCCATCGTACGGCTCAAGGGCGTCGAGTTCACGTACGACAGCGCGGAGCGGCCGCAGCTGGAGGACGTGAACGTGCAGTGCAACATGGAGAGCCGGGTGGCCGTGCTGGGGGCCAATGGGGCGGGCAAGTCCACGCTCATCAAGATCCTCACCGGGCAGTTCCAGGCGCAGGTGAGCGGGCAACACTTGCTGGTGAAGTTTTGCAGGTCCCCTCCGTGCGTGTCCGACAGACCGGTTGAAACGGTGGAGGGCCGCGGGCGCTTGTATGTCATGAAATTCGAGAGTGCTGGGATTGCAGCATGCTCCCGAGAGGCTGCGATAGTACGGCTCCTCTGCCGTAGCACGACCATCAATGTGTCAGAAGGGTGCTTAGAACCCGGCCATCTTGAAACGAAAATAGCCACTGCAAGCGAGTGAAACGGCGGACTTTGTCTTCAAGCGGTTGGAGAGGCGGCCTTTCTTGACATTGTTGAGTCTTTGATTGTGCAGAAGGGGACGGTGTGGCGGCACCCGAACCTGGGCATTGCGTACGTGGCGCAGCACGCGTTCCACCACGTGGAGGAGCACCTGGAGATGTCGCCCAGCCAGTACATCTGCTGGCGCTACGAGACGGGCGAGGACAAGGAGGAAATGAACAAGGTCAGGCGCGGAGAGACGTTTCCTAGTCGCTCAGGAGGGCTGAAGCATTGCGACGGGGCTCACGCGCATCCGCTGCCGTGCCCTTCGCTTATTGTAACGAAGCTCTTTGCACAGCGGGTCCTCGGGATTGCCATGTTAAGAGTTGAGTTTTAGAGTTAAGAATTGAGTTTCATAAAGCCACGTTAATAAGATGTTTGCTGCCTGAAAGCGGCAAGTTCTCTAGCACTTTGGCCAGATCTGGTGTACACCAAGTCGAAAAACACGGAGCCGAAAGCTCTGGTTCCTGTGAGGTTGGTGCTTTAAGAGCTGCGCTGACCTCCTTGTACGTGCTGACGTGCACAGGTGACGCGGCGCATCAGCAAGGAGGAGCAGCGGCAGATGGAGAAGATGGTGATCATCCGGGGGGAGAAGCGCAACGTGGAGAAGCTGGTCGGCCGCCGAAAATATAAAAAGACGTATGAGTACGAGGTCAAGGTCAGCGACAAAGCTTGCATGCGCTATACCTGGAAATACTCTTCCGGCTGCATTCCAGTTTTATACGATTGCCACGTCAATATACGGCCTTCTTTCTGTAGTACTTGCCATATCGCCAGGGCAATATTCTAGCACCCAATCTTCTAGCACCGGAGGATTGAGGAAGAGATGGCCTCTTTGTGTCGAGGGGTCTGTCCAAGCACTTTGAGCGGTAGCTCGAGCCTTCTGCTGACTGCAGTCTCAAAGAGGTCCAAAAGGAACATTGCTGCTTCCCCTGCTCTCCTTGCCTGCACGCCCCTCACTTTGTTTACGTTTTCGTGCCCAGTGGAAGGACATGCACCCGGTGCACAACGCGTGGATGACGCGCGCGATGCTGGAGGAGATGGGCTTCCAGAAGATGATCCACGAGGTGGACGCGCAGATGGTCGCCAAGCTGGGCCTCTACAACCGGCCGCTCACCATCGCCGGCGTGCAGCAGCACCTCTCCGACTTCGGCCTCGAGCCCGAGTTCGGCACCTACGGCCAGATCAAAAACCTCTCAGGTCAGCGCCGCAGGAGTTTTGAGGCAGCGAGACGGGGTTGTGTGAGTTTGGGGCCCTTGCGGTTTGTCTGTCGAGCAACTGTCCAAGGTGGTCTGAACGAATTGTGAGGGCGAAGAGACTCAGCGGGCTGATTTGCTTTGAGGAACTGAGCTTTTAGCGGACAACGTTCGCGCTGCTTCACCTACGATCCTACCGCTGCTGATATGGTAGAGGTGGAAAAAGAAGATTGAGGGAGTGCTCGAGAGGAACTGTTAGCCGCTTCTGACTCCTGGAGAGCTTGTCGTTCCGCAGGTGGACAGAAGGTGAAGGTGGTGTTGGCAGCCGCCATGTGGGCCAACCCGCACATGTGAGCACTTCATCGGTCCCTCATTGACCCTCCTCTGCGTGCATTAGAACCTCATACCCGTAGATTTGCGTATTGTGCTGGGTTGATTCTGTACCTTACTCAGGCCCCACACAGCGCTGTCACTAATTGCTTAAAGCTTCCGTGTTGCAGGATCGTGCTGGACGAGCCCACCAACTACTTGGACCGGGAGGCCCTCGGCGCGCTGGCTTCCGCTCTCAAAGAGTACCAGGTACGGCACACTTTCGCGGCCAGCGCGCCAAAGCCTCGAAGCGAGGACTCGTGGCAATAAGGAGCCAAAAGAGCGAGGAGAAGTTGATGGCCTGCTGCAATTACCAAAAGTCTCTGCTGGCCGCAACTATTTGCAGCTTTCCGTAAAATGGCAAAGCCTTTTACACTGTTCGTTCCAGTCAAGGCTCTAGAGAAGCGTGTGCGTTCCGTTACTGATTCTCGTACCGGTTGCTTGCGCAGGGTGCGGTGGTGGTTATTTCGCATAACCACGACTTCGTATCGTCGGTCTGTACCGAGGAGTGGCATGTCGGAGGCGGCAAAGTGATTGCGGAGGGCAACCCGGCATACGAGGCGGCAAAGGAGAAAGCAGGCAAGGAGGCGAAGAAGGCAGCGGAGAAAGCGGAGAAGGAGGCGAAAAAGGCAGCGCGATAATAGCCTAGAGTGTTTTACGCCGCTATATGCTGCAGCTTTCCAAAGATGCAAGTGTCCGTGTTTTGGAGGGCACTTCCAATATGGGGTGGGGTGGGACTGATGCTTCCGAGTTCGTTAACATTCTTTGCTCCGCCAGCGCATCAAGGATACTGGGGGGCTGTTGCACGAATAATGTAGAGCTAGTAAACGCTTTCGCTGGAGACAGGTCGTTAAATCGCCCCTCCGTTGGTCCACAAATCAATAGCAGGGGCTGAGTCATCATCAGTGTCAGGTTATAAGAAATGGTTCTTTGCTAGCTTCACAATGCATACAGTAACGGCAACATAGAAACTTGACCGCTAAGTGATTCTCATAGAACTGCAGTCGATATTGCTCCACCTTGCTTACGGTCTTCATATGAGTTATAGTTATGGGATACTGCATAGGGAATCTCTGCGTCGCTGAAGCAGCTGAATTTGATTCATGCATGCACTTGTCTGCATGAAAGTATAGATTCTGCGCATATATATGCATGTACGGTGCCTACTATATACTAAGCACGGCTTAAATTACTTACTTTTTAAGATGGAACCACCATGCAGACTGACATACTAAAAGCGCAACGGCGAGTACGTGCCCTGATCTCTTATTGCCGCCACATGTGCACGGCAACCTCATGCATGCATGTGCACATGCAATCAGTGACGGTAGCCCATGCAAGTGCGTTGCATGAGTACCGGCCCGAGTAGCTAGCTTTGTTTAAGGCTTGCACATGAGGCCATGAGCCAGTTCGAGCTGGCATGGTTTGTCCATGCATTGGGATGTGCGTGGGGGGCAACTCTACGCATGTAAGTAGTATGCAAACCTCAGTGCAGGACGCCTTGATGAGTCAGTTCATTATCTGAACCATGGCCTTCTGCATTTTCTTCCTTTCCTGTAAATCTAGGCACTTAATCGATGCGGCATGAGTAAAGGCGCTGGTATACTAAATCCCCAAGGCATGCAGCCCGACTATAATTGGCCCCGCAATCATGTACAGTAAGCAGCTTGCAATGACCACAGTCATGAATTCCTAACAAACGACAGACTTTGAATTATAGTGCGTGTTTTCTTTCTTCCGCGACGCTGTCTCGTCTCCTATACACATGAGGTGGCGACCTCGATGAAACCCCAAAAATCGTTTCCCTCGCCCGGGGCAATTTCGGTGACTGCACATTGAACCCGTCCCTACCGTCCCGGTGCCCCGGGCCTTGAGCTTCCGCTAGCATATTCCACTTCTTGGCCTGCTTTATCAACTCGTCAGCCTCCCCGTTGAACTCGGGGTGGTCCAATATAGCAAATTTTAGTGAGGCGCACACAGAGTTGTTGATCCGCCCACCGAATCGCTCTGCGTGCCGAAGTAGCTCCCGAAAGGCGTCCATTGCCTTGGCCGCCATGCCCATCTTGGCGTAAGCGTTGATGAGCCCGTTGTACGCGTCCGAAATAAAAGGGCCTTTGAGCAGCCCCTTGCTGCGCATAGCCTGAAATGCGATCTCCGCACGGGGCACGTCCCTTGCCTGGAAAGCAGAATGAGGATCAATAGCTAGCCCAGGTTATCCCCCGTAATGACGCTATACTGAACCAAGATATTTTGTCAGATTGGACAGTTACAAGCACAGTCCAAAAACGTCTCTGTCCAACTAGCTTTGACTTTCAGCCGTTGGCCAAGTGGACTAGATCCAAAGGTTGGCAAGCTTTCGCAGCCAGAGGAATGCGAGGAGCGCACGCGTTCTCAGCAACAGAAGTCGAAAGTCCTGTCTCGCCACCCATACTATACACGCAACTCACGGATTCCTCGATCTTTAGGAGGCCGCAGATTACGTTGTTTGGGCCATGCGCGCGGGCTCACCCTGCAGTAGAGGTGGATGAGCTCCACCATGGTGTATGCGTTCGCCTCGTACCCGTGGCTGCGCATCGCGTGCACCACGCGCTCCGCGAACTCGACCAGCCCCGCCTTGCTGAACGCGTCCAGCATCATCTGGAACACGGCCTGGTCCGGCTCGATGTTGTTGTCCTTGAGGCGCGCGTAGATGGCCATGGCGCGCCCGGGCTGCTTGCTGTTGGCGTACGCCTGGATCAGAATGGTGTACGTGTACAGCTCCGCCTTGATCCCCGCCATCTCCATGTACGTCAGCACCTGCTCCGCCTGCTTGTACAGCCCCGCCTTGGCGTACCCCGACAGCAGCGTGTGGTAGCTCGCCTGCGCAACAAGAATGGAGAGGGGGGTTCTCATCCTGAGAATTCGGAGGGGAGGCAGTCTCCGTTCCGCGACTCGCAGAGCTGTTCGTTGACAGTCGACTCGGTATTGACATGCATAGCATTACCAGGGCTCATAATCTTTGGGAGCAGGTTGTAGCTTCGAGTCGACACAAGAGCGCGGAGGCTTAGGCCGCACTAAGAGATCTGGAGTGCCACGCAGCTTTCGCCACGCAGCTTTCGAATACGCCCAGAAAAGCCCGGAGGACTTGTTCGGACATCTGCATGACCGGCGAGTGACGTCTGCAAGGGAATGTCGGATGTCCCGAACACGAGCCTCTCTGCTGGAGCCACTGTCTGTTTCTGAACATACAAACTAAGATAGGCTATGATCATGAAAGATTAGCAAGGCGAGGCATTTTGACCTGAACTCTTTGCCTCGACGACAGAGTCCCACCCAATTCAGGACCGACCAAGGCCCACATCTTGCGATCCAGCCGTCCCGGCTCACCCTGTTCGGCCGGATGCCCTTCCGCTTCATCTCCGTGAACAGCAGAATATCCGCACGCGTATACTCGTGCGCCTTAACATACGCGTTCAGCAGCCCGTTGTAGGCCAGCAGGTCCAGCTCCAGGCCGCGGCTCTCCATGCGCTCCAGCATGCGCTGCGCCTCCGGGACCAAGCCCAGCCGCGCATAAGCGGTCAGCAAGGTCGTATATATGCTGGCGTCCATGGCCGTGCCACTTTCTTCGGCCTCGCGGAGGAGCGCTTCTGCGCCGGCCTGGTCGCCGATGCTAGAATACATGCCGATAAGGCACGTGTACGTGATCACGCTAGGCTGGCCGTGTGCGCGGAGCCGTGCGAGGTGCGCCTCGGCCTTTTCCACCAGCCGCTGCCTGCGGGAGCGGAATGGCGGACCAGGTAAGCTAAGAAGAGGACGATCCCTTTTAGGTTTTAAATAAGGAGGGACTGTCTGCAGCAGCATTGGAAGCGAGCGGAGACGCTACGGGCGATCAAGAACGAGCCATGGCCGAAGTTTCTGCCGCCTTCCTTGTTGATGTTTGGGAAAGCGAGCCCAAAAAACAAAAACGAGAACTGATCAAAAATAAGCGGCGCGGGAACAAGGGGGAGGGAATCGGGCTCGATATTTGCTACTCCTTATTTTCAGGTCAAGATGCAGGTTGTTTCTGCGCTCATGTCGAGGATAAGGCGGCTTCAAGTGTTGAAAGTAGTGGCGGTAGACCCAACAGACGGGAAGTCTGCTTCAAGGAAGTGTCACATGTCTGTCGTGGAGGGTCTGTACCAAACAACCCGATGAAGGGGCTGGGGAATTACAAACACCTTTTCCTGAACGTCAACTGAAGCAATAGTTTCGAATTGCCCAAGGCAACGTTCAATCATGGGAGGGCGCTGACCGGCAGTAGAGGTCGAGCATGGTGTTGTACGTGACCATGTCAGGAACAACTTTGCTCTCCGCCATCCGCTGCCAGAGGTCCTCCGCTTCCTGCACCATGCCATGCTGGCCGAAGCAGTTGAGCAGGATGTTGAACGACCTCGTGTGCAGCTTGAACCCCCGCTGTGGCCGCTCGTCAAACGCCTCCATGGCCGCCTGCACGTTCCCTGACTTGCTGTATGCGTCAATCAGCAGGTTGTGCTCGTTGTCGGAACATGGGAACTGCTCGCTTGTCAGCATCCACTCGATGACCTGACGAGCAGAAAGTAGATAAATATGACCAAACGTACGGAGATGTCAGTGCGCAACGAAGACTCGCAGGCAGAGTGACTCAACGGCAGCGGCCAGAGGTCATCTGCGTTAAGACCAGATGACCTTGGGTACATGTGAGCCATATGGTACAACAAACAAGTCCTTTGTGACCAGTAATCTTTTCATTCTGACTTCTCGTAAAGCTGGTCCAAGGTCACAATTTAACCCATCCAAGGTCACGTTATGGAACCTGAGGAGAGCTTTTACGCCACTTCTAAACCCCCTGAGATTCAGACCTAGGGAACTGCGCGTCAATCTGTAAAATTAATCAAAGTGACCTCCACCAAATCTCAAACAGAGGCACTTGAAGATCTCAGTATCTTTGACCACCTTCGTACAGACAAACGCTGCGGTACAAGTATTCCACTAGTACGGTCTTCCTGTCGATTGTCACAACCTCTTGGTGGCACTATCGCTGTTGCTCTTACCTGGACTGTGCGGCCCCAATGCCGCTTCTGCCGCAGTGTCCCTATTAAAAACGCGAGGTCATGCCGGGACGCCCCCAGGCACTTGGACCAGTACTCCAGTGCGGCCGCCACCCCTTCCCCCCCCTCCGCTTCGCTGACCTCATCCAGCAGGCGCTGCGCGTGCGCGCTGTTCTGGCTGTCATCAACCTTTTTGGCTACCCCGAACGCGTGCCGCAGGCGCTCCTTCCTCTGCTTGCTGTTCTCGATCGGCCGCCGCACCGGACCCCTCTGCTGCCGTGCCCCCCGGGGCAGTGGGGGCAGAGTAGGGTCGATCGGCTTCCTCCCCGAAAAGATCAGCGGCTTTGGAATCTTGACAGGGCTGGAGGCCCGTCTTCGGCGTGACGGACGGAAAATATCGGTCACACTCTCGTCTGTTGCTGGGACTTGCCCTGTATCAATGGGCAGGCTGACAGGCACGCTAGGTGGTCCTGACGCTGTCGACGCTTGTGAATCTACCCCCAAGGCTTCAGCTTTTGTGGCCCGAATGCAGGGGCGCGACGCTGTCCGAAAGATCAGCTGGCCTCCGCTCCCAGCGGCATGATTAAAAAGTGGCGGTGTCTTTAAATATGTGTGTTTTGGGAAGGATGAAGACCGCCCGCTGAAAGTTGCTTGACTCATGGTGCAGCAGTCTTGAGTGGCCCGGACACCAGCAATGCATTGGGTGGCCTCCATGGCAGGCTACCTCAAAGGGAGATCTGCACTGGAAAAGGGACGTGATCAGAGAGGAAAGTTTCCCATTTTGGACCCTCAGATCGAGGGCGGAGGGATCTCATTGCAGCTTTGGTCAAAGCTGATGGATCGTGTATGAGGGTTTGGCCGCACCACCTCCAGAATTTGGTAATGGTGAGCACAAGAAAAGAGGGAGGGAGTCCAATATTTGAGAAGTACTCACACCTGTGCTGAAAGCAATCCATCGTATACAAAAAGTGGAGGCTGCTTCCAGTACCACACAACCCTCTGGAGCAGTTATTAGCCGCTTATTACCACGCTTCAAAGGCCAAATGCCCTTTGATGTACTTGGATGCTGAGCTTTTGACTTGTCAGATGCGCGATGCCTGCTCGAAAGCGACATGTTTGCAAGTGCAGGGTGTCCAAAATGAGAGACAGTTACCTACCTCTCCAGTCCCTGCTTCAGAACTGCCAACATGCCCTAGACTCTGGGGCCTCCCCTGCAGGCGGACTGCTGCTCAAGGAACTCTGTACAACGAAGACAGCAAGGGACGACTTGCTGGACCTTCAAAATTCGTGGCTCCAGATTGTCGGGTACAGCCCTAACCCTGAGCTAAACCTCCGATTTTGCTTGGACGCGTTGCAACACAACAATTTGCAATGGCAAATGGTGACCGCATTCTCTACGAATTACATTATCTTCGCTAGCTAGTCGTTCAAGGAGTTAGAAGGCGGCTCCTTTGTCAAGGTCCGATTGCAACTTTTGCGAACACTTTTTCGAACACTTTTTCGAACAAACGAGGAGAGCGCAGTTGCGACTAACCCGGTTACTGTAGTAACCACGGTCCAGCTGAAGAAGAAGCAGCTGGTCAGCACAACCTGGAGGCAGCACGAAGCTCAGCACATTTTAGGAGGCCATCTGTTGGGCCTCGCTGCAGCAGAGGCGACAAACAACTTAGCTGATACCTATTGTAGCTACTGTAGGTTGGTTGAAGGAATGCATTTTGGCGTGAAAACTTTCTTTGCTGACGGGCAATGCTCCAATGACAGCCTCTGCGACCAGCTTCTCAAGGCCCGCTCCTTGTCAAGGGCCCCAGCTCAAATCAGGGACGCAGAACACTGTGCAAACTCACCTCTCAGCTAAATTTCTGTCTGCAAAGGTCCCTCAGGCCCCTCTTTCCACGACCTCTTCGAGGTGCCTCTTCAGCTTGCGGCCTCAACCGGGTCTTACATTCGTTGCCTCACAGGCATTTTACCGGCGCACAATCTGTGATGCTGGGGTGGTAAGGTCGTTGCATGCAAAAGCACCCGCAGCCGGTCAAGCTGATGGACAGACAATGGCAGGGGTCGAAGAAGGTCATTCTCAGGAGCACCCCCTCGTGTATGTCAGCTTCTACAAGTTTGCCAGCCTGCCGGACTACGAGCAGCTAAGACTGGCCATCAAGCAAAGATGTGACGAAGAAGTAAGTCACAACCCACATAGCTACAACCACTTTGGTTCGCTCGGATGGGTCACGTTGTGGGTACTCATGGTCCTTCTGTTGTTTGGCGGCCTTTGCCCCTGCATCACTTATCAATACCTTATCTCCAACTTTCCCCGCTTCCAACATTTTGTGTTGCTTCTTGTTGAGTTAGTTTCCTTCAGCAGTCAAGGATGGCAACATTTATCACGCTGGAACATCCCTGCGTTCGCAACGGCACGGCCAACGCGCTACCTGACTTGTGCTACCCACTGCACAGGGTGTTGCTGGTGGCATCATTGTGGCGCCAGAGGGCATCAACGGCAGCATCTGTGGCACAAGGGCCGGCATCGACTCCGTCCTTGCGTACCTGCGGTCCGACCCGCGCTTTGCCACCATGCGCAACACTGAGGGGCCAGGCCCTTCAGAAGCTCCCCCAAGCCCAAGTGCAACGGGCGCCCCGAAGGCCACCGAAAACGTGAAGGGGAATGGATGGGTCGGGCCCAAAGGGGAAGAGTGGAAGGCGACGCCCTTTCAGCGGGACAGAGTGAATGTCAAATTGAAGAAAGAGGTGAGGAGCCATGGTGGCGGATCAAAGCACTTCACAGGGGCAGGTAGAGTTTTCCCTTCTTTGAGTGCAGGCGCTACAACTCAAGTTCCAAAACGCTCGTTGGAAGATGCATTTTCCATTGGTCCATATCCGCGAGCGCCTGGCGACCACTGTGGCAGAGTCTCAGTCCGTTGATTGGCCTCAACCTATCTGCAGGTCATTCCACTAGGGGTGGAAGTGGACCCCATGCAACGGGTGGGCACATATGTGAAGCCTTCGGAGTGGAACGCCCTCCTTGAAGACCCGGATGTGGTGAGCAAGCTTTTGTGTGTCTACTATTGATGACCGTTCTGCTGTTCGAGTCGAATGAGGGGAGGGCCGCTGGCCTCCATCCTGATGTTCATTGGTAGTCGCTCTTCAGTCCATCCTACGGTGGCTGCTAGTTTCCTGCAGTATATGACAAGATATGCTGCAATACGCAGTTGATCCAGGAAACAAGCTTGGGGCTTAGAAGTGATGACCACTGGCTCCTGTCCAGGTTGTGGTGGACGTTCGCAACGCGTACGAAACGCGGATTGGCAAGTTCCGAGGTGCTGTTGACCCGCGCACCGAGAGCTTCAAGGACTTCCCGGAGTGGGTAGAAAGAAACCTGCTAGAAGCGACGGCAAGTGGTCTCGACAGGGCGTCTAGTGGGGGAGCAGCTAGTACGGCAGGGAGAGGGGAAGACACTGAGGTCGATCTGCCCGACCAGACTGAGGAGGGTGACACACACAGACTGAAACGGGGCAGAGAAGAGGAGTCGGCCGCTAGAGTCTTCTGGGACACTGGCGACAGCGGGGAGCATGAAGCAGGCACTGGGGGGCAGCGAAGCGAGACAGCAGTGCAGAACGGCTTATCAGATCTGTCGGACGGGGATGACTCCATTGTCAAAAGTGACCAAGGGGACGAGACAACTGCGGGTGTTGCAGAGCCGGACGTCCGAACCACTGCGGACTCGGCCAAGGAGAAGAAGGTCGCCATGTACTGTACCGGGGGCATTCGATGTGAGAAGTCGACTTCGTTGCTGCTGCAGATGGGCTTCAAAGAGGTCGGTGTAACATTCCCTAGCCTGTTGTACAGTTTAAGACATTAATTGCTTGTACGCCACAGCCTGTTATCGGAGGGTTGTTGATAAATGTCCTTCATTAGCATAGCACAAGCCTTTTGATGTAACTGAGGCCGGCTTCAGCCAGGGCCGCCAGCCGACCTTCCAGGTTCTCGGGGCCTACGGAGAAGTCTACATTTGAAAACTTGAATGCTTTCAAAGTGAAACGAGAAACGGCGGCTGTTTGGTCGAACAGCCGGTGTCCCCTGTGAAGGCTTCAGCCTTCGGGTTTTGAACTCAGAATGTTGGCCCTACAATATACTTTGAGATCCCCGTTCTACAGGTGTATCACTTAGAAGGCGGGATCCTCCGGTACCTGGATGAAGTTCCGCCCGAAGAGAGCCTGTGGGAGGGCGAGTGCTTCGTCTTCGACCGGCGCACGTCCGTGAAGCACGGGATGGAGCCGGGGAGCTACTCTCTGTGCTTTGCATGCAAGGAGCCCATTAGCCCGGCGCAGAAAGAATCGCCCTTGTATATCACGGGCATCCAGTGTCCCCTGTGCGCTCACAAGAAAACGGAGAAGCAGAAGGAGCGGGATCGCCAGCGGCAGAGGCAGTTTGAAACGTACGGGCTGATAGGAGGGGCGCTGACCCGGAGCAGGCCTCCCAAAAAGGCTGTTGCCGGCACGAAACGAGAAGTGGCGGAGACGGAGAGAGTTGGTCGCTGGGTGACATGCGGAGAACAGGACAGACGAGAGCATTGACCCAAGTTGGTATTCGGGTTGGATTTCGCTTGTTTGGAACGGACCATTCAAGCGCAATCGTATGTTGGGCTTTGAATGGATTCAAGTCAGCTCCGAAGTACCTCGGAAGTCTTATAACTCCCTAACATTATCATGAACCGTCGGATGGGTATGCAAACGTACATGCTGGTGGAACTCTTTCCAATCTAGCACATGGAAGATTTGAGGCCTAATCTGTAAGATGATATTATACGCGGACGGTTACCGCGCTTTTATTTACTTTCATGATGGATTTTTCGCATAGCATCCAATATGGCTGGTAATTGTAATGCTGGCCGGCCCCGGCCATGCCAGGCGGCCCTTAATGATAGAGTGCCCATGCGCATCGCGACCTTGCTATCATTCATGACACAGGATTGGTGTACGGTCCCCGGCCATGCGCATGCCAGCTAGCTGCACCGTCTGACGAGACTGGAAAGCTTTTGCGTACGCGCTCGGATAGAATTTGATAAGGGGAGAAGTCGACACTTTCCAAATATTGTCCATCTAGTGTCTCCGCGCGCCGGCGCAACAGGATGAAAGCTTTTGAAGAGAGTTCACTACAAGACCCAGTACGACTGCGCAAGGATGACGCACTTTTGGACCTAAGACGGTACTAGTACGCCGTGGCGGCCACCATAGCCATCATCGCTGTTGAATCCGGAGAAGTGCTTGCTCGACGCCAGCAGTCGAAGTAATTGCTCAGCGCCGCTGCGTCTGGCACAGCTAATCTACAACAAGCTAGCTCCACGTGCAGCCTCTGGTAGCGGCAAGCGTCCAGCCATGCAAGAAGGGCGGCATCTAGGAAAAAATGAAGCACGACTTTCAATACCTGGTTCAGTCTGGTTCTAGATAAGACTCAGAACCCAAGTGCTTCCAGTCCTGAGTACTGATCTTTCTAGCATGGAGGGTTGCGGCAACCGCAACTTGATTGAGCAAGTCCTACTGGGAAAGTCAAGCCATAACTTCCTCCATCAGCAGCAAAGTCCTTTTGTAACCTGCGAGCAGCTTCCGGACCCGAGACGACAGACCGTGATCGCCAGGCTTGACAACCCGACACGATCGAGCGTTCACAACCGGACCACTTCAACCCGACCATTTTATTGTACACTTCAAGACGATGCTTCCAAATAACTTAGAGGTCAACGCTGCTCGTCGACCGGCAGCCGCCGGCCCACCCGCGGCCGGTCATCCATTAGCCCCCAGTTATCCGCTCCCTCCGAAGCTGCCCTTTTCTCAGCTTTCCGGCTCCGCTTGAGCCGGTCCGTGTCCGGATTATCGTTCTCGACCTCCTCCGTCTCCTCCGTCTCGTCTTCCTCATCCCCCTCCTTTGCTCTGCGAGTGGGGGTTGTCCCTTCATCCGCCCATTCCCCTCGCAGAGCTCCCCAGACCTCAGCCTCCTCCTCTTTCCTCGACCGCGTACCCTGCTTTTCCCCCCTCCCAACCTCCAGTTCTTTCTTTTCCCTAGCACCGCGCTCTTCCCACCCGTCTGCTTCTCGTCGCCTTGTTTCCGCTTCTGCCTCTCCGTCGCCCAGTCCCAGGTTCCTGCCCCGGTTCTTGATCCAGCCCGGGTCCTCCTCCTCTTCCTCGTCCTCCGGCGCGTCCTGGTACCCCGGTTGGCCTTCCCGGCACATGCACTCGGGGGCAGGGTACGAGTACAGCGACTGCTCTCGCTTGCGCTCCGCTACCCCATGCAAATCGTTGTCCTCCCGCATCGCGCGCAGTTCAGCGGAGAAGTCAGCCCACCTGCAAGCGCCACGAAATTGCCGCGTCTCATCATTGGACCGACCGAAGACTACTTCTGTAAACTATAGCGCGCCATCCGTCTTTGCTGTTCAAGCAACAGCAAGCATCATAAACGACTTTCAAGGGCTTTCAGGAAGTGATCAGCGGGCAGGCCACAAATCTTCCCTTCTTGCTCTCAGAAAACGCGTATTAAGAAGCAAGCCATGACTCGACTAGACGCAGACGCAAACCAGTGGTTCCGGCAGCCGCTCACTGGAGCGTGTGGTTGTCGAGGAGGCGCGCGAGGGCCTTCTTGTCGGGGCTGACCGTCTTCCAGTGGTTCTGGTTGCGGTACCGCCGGTGGCCCTCCACCAGCTGCGGGAAGTTGCCCCCCTGCGTCGCCATGAAAACTTCGGCCGCCACGCACACCGTGAAGTCCAGCGCCGCCAGCTGCGACGACCGGCCCTACAAAGCGCCACCGCGAAGGCATGTCAGCTAAACCGTTCAGCCGTGAGAACCACGGTGGTCAGTCATGTTGAAGCAAGCAAAGCGCGCCTCTTCCCTGTTGTCGCAAGTGCCCGAAAGCAGTTTGAAGAATTTCAGAATGCGGTTCGTGCTCCTCGCTCAAGCTGAGCAAATGAAGCCCCGCGACATTTTGCGGCGGGGGTCCCGGTTGCCAGCCAAAATCCAGACTTGATATCTTTCCAAAAGGCCTTTGCAGCACAGCAGGAGGAAAGCCCCACAAGTTCCCCCATAGCAAAGACACCCGGCCCACCTTGAAGGGTGCCAGCTCGTCCGGTGAGAGGAGCGTCTCCTTGGTTTGCAGGGACGGGAACATGTCACGCAATGCGGGGGGCAGCCCGCCGTAGACGTCGCCCGCTGCCAGGTACACGGGGGTGCTCGCCGGGAAGCCCATGCCACGCAGGATGAGGCCCACCTCGAGCGGCGTCAGCGGACATTTGCCGGCCCTGCAACCAGACCGTCTTGCGTGAGGCCCCGGAAGCCAGTCCCAACTTGCCTAACCGTTTGCTTTTTGCCGTGCTCAGCCAGACAAGGGATGGCGGATTTTTTACAGTGGTAAGATGGCTCAGCCCGGACTACGCCGAATCCGATATGCAAACCGTGTTTCTGCTGAAAGCGATGCTGGCAAGGCAAGCAGAAGAAGCGCAGCGGCCAAGGGATCCCTCTCGAGAGAGAGAGAGAGGTGCGGTGTCGACAGCAACAAGCTCCGTCGTCTTGAGAGCAAAACGCCCGGGCTTACAGAAAGCTAACAAACCGGTGCTAGCGAAGCATAACCCCGCCGGCCTGCAGATACTGCTAAGTCTCCGCCCCAAGACTCCGAGACACCCCCCGTCCGCGCTCACCTCCTGACGGACCCTGGGTCGATCGCTTTGCGGCCCGGGCGGGTGAATTTGCCGCTCCAGCCGACCTCCCGGAAGGCAGCCATCTCCTCGCGCTCCTGGGTCCCGCCGTCGTACAAGCAGTTGCTGAACGCGACCATGTCCTTCTCGAAGCGCAGATGCACAGCCAGGTACCGCCCGCCGGGGCTCCGCGCTACCATCTGAACAGAGGTGTGCCGTTCAAGAGCTTCACCATGCTTGACAATGAACCAGCAGAAGAGCGGGTTGGATGGGCCAGCATGACAGAAGAGGCAACTACACCAAAACCGTTTGCTTGATGTATACAGCCAGGAAAAGCTGACCACACGAAAAGCCACCACCAAACTCGGCCCTGGCAAGCTCGCCATAACAATCGAGGACTACATTCTCCCCTCAAGTGTCAAAAGGAGAGTCGAATATAGAGGGGTCCCTCGTGCGAAACAACCTCCAGCAAATCTCAATCAGCTTACCCGTTCAACAATTGTGTCTGCCATGGACTTTATGCGGGGTGCGAAGCGCAGCGCGTGGAAGTTGGCGCGGCAGCGCAGCTGCTGGAGGGCGGGCTCCACATCATCGTAAGTGAGGCGGTTCGCAAACGGGTCGAGGCGCAGGGCGCCCTTGGCCCGGAGCAGGGGCAGGACCTCCGTCAGGTAGTACGAGGGAGACGACCATGCGGGCACCTGGGTAAACGTGGACAGTATATCAAATACTAGATCGGATTGTCAGAAGAAAGCATTCATGGTTTGGGGGCAGAAATGTAACTGAGGAAAGACTTCGCAAAAGAGTCTCAAGTTGCTTGATGCAAGCGTAAGAAGCAGACCTAACGAGATTTGGAATGTTTCACTCTGAGCAGTCTGCAAAGACCAACTGGCCGACAGTATGCTCGAGAACGCCTGAGCGAACGCGGAAGTAAGACAAATGACCCCTTTTCGTTGTTATGGTTCTTAGAGAAGGGCACAGGTCCGACGCCAAACAGGTGAGAAGGCGTCCTGACCTTCGTCTTCTGCCTGTAGTCTTCCGTCAGGAACTGGTACTCCTTTGGCAGCTGGTGTACTATCTCGATGTCAGCAAACAGCGCCATGATGAAGTGGTTCACGTCGAAGATGTCCTCGAAGGTGCTGACGTGGCAAAAAGACGGGTTCAGTCAGTCGGAGCAGAAAAGCTGGAAGGCTTGCTTCAGTCACTTTGGCTGCTGATCAAGTTCGTAACAACCTGGGACTGACGTGTGGCAACCTTTTAGGTGGCTCAAGCAGATGGCCGGCCCCTTCCGACGTTAGTAAATGATGCAGCCGGATGGTACGAGTACTGGTGTGCTGCAGAGGGTGACAGCCAAGAAGGATACTAACCTTGGGTCTTTCCAGATGGCGTGATAGTAGAGGTGTGGAATGACCAGAGTTGCATTGAGCAGCTTTGCAATCGCCACCGCATTGCAGATCTGCAAAGGCACAGATGTCGAGTGGAGTCTACATTCGTCGCACTTCCTTTGGATGTCCAGCAGATTGCACGTTCTCCTTCCCATTAAGAATGGATGCAATCGGGCGCAGAGACGCGCGTGAGAGCAATCGAGAAAACCACGACTCACCGCCGATCGCTGCTGATTCAAGCCGCCGTTGACAACAGGACTGATGTAGCCGTTGCTGGTATATCGTGACTCTGCAAGTACGGGTGGTGCAAAGTCAGAACAGACGCCATCAACTCAGAGTCTCGGCTTCGCGCAAGACTGGGAACAAACCAAAGCGAGCAATCCTTTCGGGTTACAAGTACTTTCACAATCCACTACGCATGATTGAGGCTTCACACGTGGACGCACCAGGCACAACCCGTTTCCGCCCAGCGCAGGGCCGCCAGCCAGTGTCGGACTTCAAAGCCTGCCACTCCAGCGCTCCCTGCAGCAGAAAGGGCCCTAGTTATATGTCCTGAGCATGCTCAAACAGCTTCTTCTGGATGTGGCAGCCTCAGCTTGTGTTTTTTGTGTAAAGATCAATTATTCTGTTTTACCCCCAGTCTGTACGCAGCCTGGGGATGTTGGTTCACTGCAGTCCATGGTGATCAAGAGAGTATGCAGGAGGAATACTTCCAATTTTGAGTTGGCAAAAGCAAGTTGGGGGAGCGCCGACAAGCCACTCAAGCGAAAGGGCGCAAGACCGAAATTGCATTCTGGATTCAAAAGTAAATTGGAATCATCTTTTGAATGGAAGGCTTACCTCCACCGGAATGTCATCTGCTGCTGACATATTTGCTGCAAAACGTGCGTATGCAAGGTGGCTTCTATACACGGACCCCGGAGGCTGAGAGTGGGCGCGTCTGGTGGGGAGGTCAACCATGGCGGAGCCAGAATATAGGCTACGGCCAGCAATGACGAGGATGGCTGCTAGGCACAATACAGCGGGCCTGAAAGAAGAGACAGGAATGTCATCAAGCACCCAGCCAGGCCTGGAGAAGTTTGATGTTTGGGACATGTGCATATAATCAGACACTTGCACGCGCTGCAATGCAGTGCAGATACCGATGCATCAGCTGTCTTTGCACATCAATCGCCACACGGAAGAAAGAAGAGCTGCTAACGTGCAAATGAATCACCCATGGTGGTGACTCCTGTTAGTCTCTCACCTCCGCAGAACGTTGAAGAAGGACAGCCAAGGCCGCTTTACCCCTGATGGTTTCAGAAGGGTACGAGAACGTGCGCCAAGTGGTCCTCTGGGCAGCACATCCTTGGTTGTCACGGGAAGTCCAACCCCATTATCCACGGCCCTTGCCCGAATGCCCATCTCGTTGGCCATCTTTGATACCCGAGTAAGTCCTATGCGCACTCAGGCTTTCTTGGCTTCCGACGGCCCACCCTCCTGGGAGCCAATCACAGGCCGATGGCTGATGAACGTCGACTCCGCTCAACCACAGACTATTTCCCCCCAAATGCGCGCACAAGGGCTCTCAAAGCTTGACGAAGTACAATTCCCTTCAAGCTGGACTTTCTAGGCCTCCTGGCAGGAATGACCGCTGACGCGGCTCACAATAAGCAGGAGGGCCATTGATCAAACTTAAAGCCGCGGCAGCTGGCTTGAAAAAGACCGCTTCAGATAAGCAGGACCTTATAACTGTGCGAGGAAGTCCTGTTACTCCAATCTGATGGAGTTCTGAAGGACCCCCCAGAGCGGACCGAAGCATAACCTTTCTGCTACATCGCTGGCCCGCATTTTCGTGCCGTCGATCCGTCTGGTGAAAATGCCACACTGCAGAAAGTTTGAGAAGCACGCAGCAATTGCAATTTGCAATGGAGCCAATGCTCCATGGACCATGACCACATGATAGGTATTATGTGCATGATGCATGATGCACCCGGTGAGCGATAGCCCTTGCGAAAGCTAGACCGCCATACCTGGTACATACCGCTACGGTAATCCTGATACGTACAGTAGGTATCAATTGTGTCCGGTGCGTACCCCTTGATCACGTGGCTTCATGGGCAAACCCCCCGTGCTCAACAACACAGCCGCCTAGAGGATACAGCGCGCAGGAAGAAGTGCCAGCTAGATAGAGCATCAGATGTGAATAGATATCAGCGCGCTGCCTCACCAGCCGCTTCCTGGTGCTCGGGCACTTCTTCCTGCAGTGCCGCTCGCCCTCTGGGACCAGTGCAACTCGATGGTCGTCCCCGCCACATTTCTCTCTAGTGCATGCAGCCGCTCTCTTCTGCAATATAGAGGAGGTGAGATGGTGAGAGCGACAGGAAACACCAGGATTCGGACTTCTAGGACCTCGGGGGCCAAAACATGACAAATACTTCTCGAGCGTGATTGGCGGTCTTTTCCAACCATGATGCGATGCTTCAAGGACGTTCATCGTTCCTCATAGACTCATACGAAGGTAAGATTATAAGCCATGCATCCAGCCTCTTGAGTAGGACTTGGGGCCGGTAATTCCGATTTCGAAGAGAACCGTAGGCGCTCCGTAGGCGTAAGTTAACAGGCAATCATCCAATCAGCCTACTCCTCATTTCCTCTTAAGCTGCGCTCAAAGAGAAAAGCGTTGTTCGTTTTTCCGCCAATCCGGGCAGTTCTGAAAGAACTAAACTGTTCTGACTGTGTTTTCTCAGTGTCGTCTGCCTTGACGCCTTGTCTTTTAAATCCTAAGGGCGCCTCTGAAAACTTCCTTTGTTGCGTTCTCAGGTCGGGGTATTGATCGAGGAGCCGTTCTCGATCCTGGCGCTGCAAGCCATTTGCAACTCGGCTGAGAAGAACGTGGCGAAGGTGACCCAGGTGCACAAGGACTTGCGCAAGCGGCGCGTGCAAAGGGCGCTCGACGACGAGAAGCAGGCCGAGCACGAGCGTTGTCACGAGCATGGGGCGTGGCAAGAGGTCGGCCGGAACGAACGGAGCATCTCATTGAGGGAGGGTACGTAGCACTCATGCTTTAGCTGACGCAGTCTGTGAGAGGAAGCGGGTTTGGGGTCGATGCAGGGGATCTGACGGACGAGATGTGATTGAACGGAAGCGTGCTAGCCAGGAGCAGCTTTGAGCTTCGGTTCAATACAAAGATCTTAGTAGCAGCGCACATGACAACAAGTTTGCTACCAACCTTAAGTTATTGGACACAGAAGCCAGCTCTACATGAGACCGGTTGTATATTAAGTACTCTGAATCATGCTCCGTTAAAATAGCTGCCTTCCATATGGAACGACATATTACATGGCAAAACAATCGAAGTAGGTTGAAGTTGAATTGAAATGAATGCTCACATACAGGTATATAGGTTAAATCAAGTGAAAACATTGAATAGAGGAGTCAGCGGTAGGCGGACATCGCGTTCACGAATAAGGGTGAAGCAAATAGGGTTGTGGCCGACGTAATTGATTGTATGATTTGGTAGACGTGCGCGGCCTCTTCTGGTAGATAATCTGTGATTGAATACAAAGCTAACATATACGAAGTTTAGTACTAACAAACTTGCTGCGCGATTGTTGCCATGTCGACAGCAAGTTCATTAACTTACTGAATCTGCTCATAGCCGACTCTTGTCTAGGCTAGAGTCAAAACGGTGAATATCAATAGAAAGGGTATGCGGCTTGACGCATGGGGGCTTCGCTCGGACTAGCCAGTGCTTCATGGCCTTTCTTTTTCAAATCAACCTGGCGCATTGTGGTTAATGCCCTATGAATCCTTTGCGGCTGTGCCACGCGCTCAAGTCACGATCGATCACCGACAGAAAAACGTTCATCAACAAGATTGTGTATACCAACAACTACCGAAATAATTCCATAATGTTTGGTGGACCGGAATCAAAGGTCCAATAGACTGGATGACTGCTAAGTGTTTATATTACTTATTACACGACAAAATTGATTTCCTCTTTGCTCTCCGGAATTTGTCAAAATTATGTTCTTGCACTCTCAGTGTATCCTACTCTTCGAAGATGGCAGTGGGATCCGACAGACTCATTGTGTACAGGGTAATCCCGCCATCCACAGGGATGTTCACCCCGCACATGTACTGAGAAGCCTTCTCGCTGGCCAGCAACAGCAACACGCCCATCATGTCACGCTCAGGATCCCCGTACCTGCGTTTAGAAGCCAGGGTTTCGATTGGAGCAACCGCAGAACGTTTCCCGCAACTGACTGACATCTCACGATGAATACTTCTTGATGTACTTCACGTCCCCAAATGGTGTGATAGCTATGCAAGAAGCCATATCTGTACTTCACAGACCGCCTTTTGCCACTGCTTTTCGGCTTCACGGGTTCACTGAGAGTTCACTGTGAAGACGTGCTCTACGACAGGCCATACATTTCAACGATAACCAGCATGAAAATAAGGTTGCTAGGTGAGGAAAACGATTTATGGTGGCAAACACAAAGGCACAGTATACCAACAAACTAGGTTGAGGCAGAATCCTCACCGCTTGCACGGGATGGCCTTCTGTGCCTTCTCCTTGTTAGGGGAGTTGACCAGCTTGTCGCTCATGGGGCTGGGAAACACGCCTGGCGCAATTGAGTTGACGTTGATCCCCTTGGGGGCCAGCTCAACGGCCATGGCCCTGCAAAACAACATGGGCCAGTAGCACACATGATGCGAGTTCCTGAAACTTCCCTTCGTTCTTGACAAACAATGCTAAAGAGCGCGGAGGCTCTCTATATGCGCTCCGAAACTGATTGGCATGCTTCCCATGCGCACGAAGATGACCATACCTTGGAGACTGGAACATCAACTACGATTGGTCACCACCTGTCCACCTGAGAAGCTAATCCAACACTAGAAAGCGGCTTCTACCTTTGATAGTGAGATTGCTCAAAGCAATGCTTGGCAGGGGGGTCTGCGCTTCAGTTAATGAGAGTTGCTTGAATGTACTGTTGCCACATAACTTGAGAATTGCTTGAATGTACTGTTGCCACATAACTTGGCTTTCAAGCCAGTCTTGCAGGGGGGTCATACCTTGTAAGCTGAATCACCGCAGCCTTAGACGCAGAGTAGATAGCCTGGCCCTTCTGGACCAGCTCCCCCCCAGCAATCGAGCTGGTGTTGATGATGCGTCCCTTAATGCCATTGTCCACCATGAGCTTAGCGACGGCCTGTGCTGTGAAGTACAGCCCGCGCACGTTGGTGCTGAAGACCTTGTCGAAGTCGTCCTGGCTGTCCTTCAAAAGGCCAGCCCCAGTTGCAAAGCCAGCATTGTTCAACTGCACACAAATTGTTTTGAGACACACGTTCACAACAGGTGGAAACAGGGCAAAGCTGCTAGACGAGCAGCAGGAGCAGCAATTCTTCCTAACGCCCCTCATAAAAAGCTCATTGGCAGTGGCCTTGGATTTTGAACTTTGAACATTGGAGGGACTTGATCGAATGCATGTCCAATGATGTCTTGGAAACATTCATTCAATGGTCGAAAGCAATGCTGAGAACTTGATAGAGAGACTGCACACTCACCAAAATATCCAGGTGACCATAGATGTTCCAAGCATCCTGAACTCCCTTTGCAACCTCTTCCTGGGGTCCGGAGACGTCCAACTGGATGGACTCTGCCTTTCCACCAAACTGCGTGATCTCCTGCAAAGGGATCAATGGAACGACAGGTGTTATGCAATATCCAACATCTTTTTAGATGATTTTTGCGGCTCAATTGGTGCATCTCCAGCACTTAGTATTCTTTGAGTAGCTGACTCCATTTTACCAACTCTTGATGGCCTCCGATTCTATCGTAACAATTTGTGTGTTCCTTATCCACGAGCTACGACGGTGCTAGCAATGCTTGCTCGAAATAAACTCTTGGGCTACTATCACGTTGAACAGGTTTACCAGTATGAAGTTGAATAGTAAACCAATTGCAAAAGCAGATATGAAGGCCCCAGATCAAAAACCAGCTGTTTAGTACATGCTCATTAGTTCCTTACAAGGTTGTGGCAGGCTGATTCTGCATGGTTGATTTGACAAAACGTTTTAATGCATAAATTGTCCAACATCCAGTAGATCCCATGATTAGACTGCTTCTGCTATTGAATGTGCTTGCATGTTTCATTTAAGAGCACTCCGCATTCAAGTACCACATACTGCTGGTGGGCTGGGCACAGCTAGGCTTGGAGAAAACGAGTTGCTGGATTGAAACAGATTCAAATGCTGACAGCACTTTGACTTACGTCCACCAGATCCTGCAGCTTTTCTTCACGCCGAGCTGCCAGAACCACCTTGGCGCCCTGGGTTGCCAGGAACACAGCAAAGCGCGACCCAATTCCAGAGGACGCGCCCGTCACCAAGCACACCTGGTCCTTGATGGACATGAGATCGCTATAGTCTGGGGGAGCCATTGTGAATGACACTAATCAGCACAGCTACGTAGGAAGGTGGGTTGAATCGCCGGCCTTTTTGTAAGCAGCAAGCTGAAAGCTTCGAAGAAGCAAACCTGATTAACCTCGTTTTCAAAGTGCTGAAAAGAACGCAGATGGAAATCTTGCAATTTCGTGTTTGTGGTCGAGACTGCAGGTCTTCCTCTCGAGCTGGCAGTCCGATCCCAGCCCTCTCTCCTGCTACAACACCCACATTGCAGCTGGTTGCGGACCTGGTTTCCATCTGCATGAGCCGCAGAGCGGTATGCATGTGAGGCTGCTTCTGGAACCGCTGCTTCTGTGGCTGCCTGCCCGTGTCGTCCTCCATGGTTCCAACGTGGCGCTCTGATTCCGCCCTGATTCCCTTGCTGGACTGCAGCTCGCTATCCAGCTGGACTAGCCTCTTGCCAATGATCACTGATCCTTGAGCCGCAGCCAGCCGCAGCTACTACCGTAGCAACTTTTCCGGGCAGCATGCACAAACTCTCCATTTAAATTTAAACTGTGTTCAAAGGACCTAGGAGACGGCAAGGCGCGACGATATCTCACTGGAGAACCGGCAGTGCGCAAGCGAACACGCCGGAGACCAGATGTGCTTGCGCGCATGTACCTAGTACCTATACAGTAGTCCCCTCTGTTTGTGAAACATCGCGCGTCTGACCATTGTCGCGCAGATGCATCGATGTTGCAGGCTGCCGGTTTTAAAATGTGAGTCTGTGGTAACAAAATGAATTTGGAAGGAGGCGTGAAAGGACGCTATATATTATACCAAGCCCAAGCCAAGACCAAGCCCCCCTGGCATTGGGAGCCATATGGCATTTTGAAGCAGCTTGTCCTCCCTACATAAACGCGAGTTGCTCAAATAGGCGGCCCAAAATGGACGCAGATATTGACCCCAGTTCCTTTGACCTTGTGGTGGTCGGCACGGGGCTCCCGGAGTCCATCATTGCAGGCGCTGCAGCGCAGGCGGGCAAGACCGTCCTCCACCTGGACCCAGCCGACAATTATGGTTCACACTGGGCCACCCTGCAACTGGACACGTTTGTGGAGTGGGCCAAGAGAGGCGGAGCAACGGCCCCTTTGAAATATGGGTCTGATGGGCCAGATTCTGGTAAGTTTCTAAAAGCTTCAGCCCTGGCATCAATCGATTTCATTCTCAACTGTAACGACGTTGTCCGCTTTGTCATATTCTTCATAGTTGCTTATTGAAATACTAGCAGCTGTGTGCACAACCTTGGTGCTAATCGGTGTCTACACCATCCTTCTGACACAACGTACACCGAGTTTCTCTAGGCGCAACCCTTGAACCCTTGGTTGCCAACCTTGACTTTGCAGGAACGAATCCAACCCAAGCTCCCACAGCATCCGCCTGCCCTACAATGGAATCAGAACTAGAAGTTGTCCCTCTCGCTGCGTCTGCCCCAATCTTCAGCGACTTCGCTTTACAAGTGGGAGATGCAGCAACGCACTTGGCCAATTGCGTGCTGCCCCCTGGCGTTGAAGCTCCCAAAAAGTATGGGGTGGACCTCGCTGGGCCGCGGCTTGCTCTGGCGAGTGGGGCGGTCATTGACCTCTTGATCCAGTGTGGGGCGCACAACTACCTAGAGTTCAAGGTCAGCTGTCTCACTGATCCTTCAACTTGAACAGCCCAGTCATCGTTTCACCCGGACAGCACGGGTAGTAAGCAAGATTGGGTACCTTGAAGTCCTCTCCTGGGAATCTTACAAGATTCTTATCATTGAGCTTGGATCTTTGTTTGACTCCAAGTATGGGTTCAACATGCGATTTGTGCTGTATACTAAGGACGTCGCTCGTAGCTCAAGCCTAAGTATCGGAGGCCGCTGCTCTGCTGCAGGCTGTGGAAGGCAGCTTCACCTGGCGCAACGGCCAGCTAGAGCCCGTCCCTTCTTCTCGTGCGGACGTGTTCAAGAGCCGCTCGCTGAGCCTGGTTGAGAAGCGGCACCTCACCAAGTTCTTCAAACTAGTGACTGAGAGCAACATCGAGAGGGATCCCTCTGACGGCGGGGATAGTGTGTCTGAAGAGGACCTGGACATGGCTTTTGGGGCCCTCCTGACCAAGCACAACCTGCCGCCGTCTATCAGACAGTACGTTTGCGCTCCTGCAAATAATGAACGATTTGAATAATTTTGAATGATATCAGCGACCGCGGGTTTCAAGTAGTGCGTGCGCTTGAACAAACAGAGCTTTAGGACCTGCACTGTTCTGTCATCTGAGCACCCTCCTTTGGACATTTCGTTGGCACATCCGATGATTGTACATTACTGTTGGTGCTCTTCTGTGAGTATCAGAACATGTCTGTATCTTGTCTTCTTCCAGTCACTCTGCCGCCTCCATCTATGTGTTTCACGTTGTCGCAGGTCCCTGCTGTACTCTGTTGCCTTGCTCACCCACGACCAGGACAGTGGCCCCGCTGTTACTGCCCGGGAGGGCCTGCGTGCCATCACAGCCTACCTGCACTCCGTTGGAAGGCAAGCGTCTCTTGCTGGTCGCTCAACCAGTTCCTAGCCCTTGGTTCGAAATACCACCTGACAATCTATGCGGCCATGCATTTCTTTGCGTTTTCTGGGAGTCACCGTCCTCACCAAAGCATTTGGGTCCGTCCTCTTCGTCAAGCCAAATGGACTCAAGCTTGCTCGTCTTGTTTCTCTTTCACGATTCGAGCACTCCTCTTTCCAGGCTGACGAGTTGTCTTCGTCTGCCCACAGGTTCGGTCCTGGCGTTGGCGCCTTCCTGTATCCCCTGTACGGAAGCGGAGAGCTGCCCCAGGCCTTTTGCCGCATTGCTGCCGTCAAGGGCGCCCTCTACGTGCTGCGGCGGGGCGTGCGCGCCCTTCTGCTCGACAAGGCCTCGCGCCGCCTCCGAGGCGTTGTCACGACCACCGGGCAATCGCTCCGCACGTCCAAACTCGTCTCAGGGCCTGGGCTTCTCGAATCGCTCCCAAAAGCAGAGACGCAAGCTGAGTCTCTCGGGACCATTCCCTTGGAACTATATAACGGTACGACGACGCCCTCAGAAGAGCGCTTCATCGCCCGCTTCGTTTGTATAACGGATACGCCCCTGACGCCCGGCCAGTCAAACATCCTCGTCACCTTTCCGTCCGGGTCGCTGTCCATGGCGCTGCCGGCGCATCCCGTGCGCGTTTTCCAGGCTGGGGAGAGTGCAGCCGTCGCTCCAGCGGGGCGCTTTTTGGTACAAGTTTCGACAATTGGATCGGAGGGCCGCTCTGCTAGGGAGGACTTGCAACCCGTGGCCGAGGCCCTGTTCGAGACGAGAGGAGACGCGGACGAGGAAAGCGGACAGGGGGAAGAGGCCAGTAACAGGGCCTTGGAAGCAACTGATGAACAGGGAGCTTCGCGGGGGACCCGTGAGGCCGGAGGCGTTGGGGAACGGATTGAGCAAACGGGTAGCGATACGGCGGGGAATGGGGGAAGGCCTGCGGAGGAGAACGGGTCCTTCTCTTCAGGCTTAGGAGCAGCTTCTCCGGAGCCCAATTCTGGACCGACCCCTTCCCCCTTCAACGCGGATGTGCCGGGAAGCGGGGTCGCAGCCGAAGCGGGCATTTCCGGAACGGATGGGCAGCAAGTCCGGACGGTAGACGGTGCAAATTCGGACGGTGCTGCTGCTCAAACGTCCGAATTTCGGAAGCCCAGGCTGCTCTGGTGTGTGTACTTCAAGCAGAGAGTTGCGGCGGGGCAAGAGGTGAGGGGCGCGACGGAGTGCTTCATAACTGTCTCGTCTCTGGTTGAGACATTTGGATGCATTTGTTCTTCAGAAGATTGCCTGGACCTCGTCGAGAATCTTTTGAGGGCAGGCCTTCGCAATCTAGAGCGTTGTTAGGTAGGAGAATAGACAGACATACACACTATCCGTTATCAATCCACGAGAACCTGAACTGGCGTTTCGGAATGTCAGAGGATCGGAAGTGGCACCTCTTCTTTCAAACTGTACAGTATGGGACCAAGGACAGACTTTGCGTTTAAGAGTCCCACAGTCCGGGCTTTTCCACGACGTCGTGAAAGATGGCGAGCAGTTTCCCTGTCAGCATCCATGCTTGAAAAGGACAGGTCTTCTCTTCTTACGCAGCTAGCGGAAGGGGACATCTACGTATGCGGCTCACCTGACGAAAGCCTCACGTATGGACACGTGGCGGAGGAGGCGGAAACGGTGAGCGCCAAACGAAGCGGAAGGAGTCTCTGCTACGCTGCCAGACGACCTTGAGTGCGCAACGTTCTTCTCTACTCATCAAGTCAAAGGCGGCCGGCTTGAAAGGAACGTGGCAATAATGAAACTCAACCTCCAAATAAGATTCTTCCAAGGACCCCTGGTCAAACGTGCTCGTCAGCCCCGGTTTTGCTACGAGAGCAGCGCCTCTTTCGACTTGGAGCTGCGCTTGTACTTAGTATGGCAAATTCCAATCTTCATCTGGAACCGCTGTCCTTACACGCTTTTCAGGAGTATCTGCGGCGTCTTCTTTTGGCTGATGGGTGTTCCTCCTTCCCCCAGGCTTTTAAGCGGCTGTTCCCAGACCTACCGTACTACCCTCCTCAAGCTCCGGAGCCGGAAGAAGCGCCCGACGAAGACGAGGCCGCGGAGTGACGGAGCTGGAGGCACGGCTCTGGCCTGCCACATGACTAGTGCATCTTGCATAACGGGCAGGATGTGGAATAAGCACGCATTCTCACTTGAATAAGCACGCATTCTCACGCAGCTTCGTCTCTCCTTTGAGGAAGACATCCGGTGAGGAGTTTGAGCGCAAAAAAGGGGTCGGTGATGTATGCGTACCGCACATGTTGCAAGCAACCGTGCATTTAAGGCGAAGACTCATGACAGCGGAGTGATGCATGTCGGAAATATAGTTGAGGATATGCAAAGCACCCCAAACGCCGTGTATGGCAATTAAGATTGCTACATTAGTGGCTCTGGCAGTCTGGTCTATATTCTGATGTACTTAGTACTCAACCACCTTGAAATCATTTACCCCAATTTCAATTGGTGTCTGGATCCTGCACACGTGCCAGGCGGGCCATGCGCGCTGCATCCTTAAGGAACCGTCCCTTCCCTCCCTCCTTGATACCTGCCACGCTAGCGCGAGCACGCGTGCGCATGTAATGATTGTCGTGCACTGGACAATCATTACGGGCATGAGCCCCAATGTGCCACGCTGCCGGCTGGCCAGGCATGCATGTCCGTCAATTCCAATCTAGTTCAGTGACGTCCGCCCGTGGGTATAGGTGGGCCATACTAGGCCTCAATACAAATCCTGTCATGGTCCGACTGTGGTGAACAGAGCTGCTTATCGATATCAATAACGGTTTCGATCACGTCTGGCATGACATCCTGACTTTAAGCGTCAGGGGTTCACATGCAGTACTGCTCACTTTTCTGTGGTGATCATCGCTATCCTGTAGCGGGCACGGTAAGATGCATGAGGTGCAATGGCAACCTCGTTATGACGATGTTCGCGAGAATACACCATACAAAGGGTTCGACTGTGTTGCGACCTGCTTCTCTTTCAAGCCTTTCCTTTTCTCCTTTCTCTGCCCCGACGTTGCATCCGGTTGCAACTGCGTTTCATCTTGCTCCTTTCTCGTGGTTCCGCTCTCTTCCTCTGATTGCACCTCGGGTCTCAATCGCGTTCTAACTTCCTCCACTCCCGTGGTCTCGCGGTCCTTCTTTCTTCCCACCATCAAGTTCACCTCGCTTTTCAACTGCAATCCATCATTTGTGCCCCCGCTTGTGTCCCTTCTCCACACACGCCTCGTGTCAGGTGTCGACCGCTTGTCAACCTGCTCCCCTCCACCAGTTTCGCTCGGGTCGTCCCGCGACGCCCACTTTCCCTTCACTCGCCGCGCCGACCGGGGATCCACGCCCGCCTGCTCCCTCCTCAGCAGCGGCTTCGCCGGGTCCAGGCCCAGCCACGTGGCAGCCTGCGTGAAGGTGGGCGCCGTGATCCCGGACTGGCACACCTCCGCAAACGTGCCGTACGTCTCCACTTTGGCGACCACCTCCCGCCCCGGTTCCAACTCCAGCGTCGCTCGCCCGCCGCAGCCCAGCTGACCCTGCAATCTCAGGGCCGCCTCCCAGTACGCATCCGCCAATTCAACGCTCGGAAATTGCACGAGCGCCGCGCGCGCGTCGAGGCGGCCGATCTTGTGGCCCGCCTGCCCCTGCTCCGCCGCGATCGCGTCGCGGATCTGCTCGTCCGAGAGCGTGTCCGGAAACGCCCACAGGAGCAGGACGTCCGGGCGGTGCTGGGCCCACTTGCCGCGGTGCATGGCGTCGTGCTCGGCGCGGCACGCGCGCACGTGGCCGTTCCGCAGCAGGCTGAAGGACGCGCGCGTGTTGTGGATCATACCAGCGTACAGCAAGTTGGCGGTCCTGGGGGAAGACGCGGGATGATGATTGGGCCAGGACTTGTGAGCTGCAGGATTAGTAAGCTAACCACCCCAGAATCTGTGGGGTTGGTTTGAGGGTTTCAGGTGGGTCCGGTTGTGAGGCAGATTCATCTTGGAAATGGGCTTTAGCGTTTGCTAGCAGCCTTCAATACTGAGGCTCACTGTTGCTAGGATCCGGCCTTCTTACAGGCGGCAGCGAGATGGGCTGGAATGAACAATAACAAAAGCGATGCAGGCGCAAGGATGACCGGCCCCGGAAGACAACGTCGGAAGTCACTGCCAAACCAGATACAAAAACGTACAACGATTGCGAAGCCGGCTTGAGAGTAAGGCAATGCTGCAGCTTCGAGCAGCCCGCCGATGATCCCTTTCTGCGGCGAGGATGGTGATGATGATGATGGAAAAAACAAAAGAAAAAAAAGGAAAGAGAAAAAAAGATGGTCTGAGCCTCGGGCCCGGTGGGCTCACGCGGCAAGCTGCTTCAGCGGCTCCGTCGCGTCCCGTCCTTTCCCGGATCTTCCGGAGCCGTCCTCCGCGTTCTGTCGCGGCGCCCACATACTGTGCCGCCCTTGGGTCAGTTCGGGCAGGCGGCGCAGCTCGCCGGGCTCGACGCCCCGCCGCTTGGCCAGCCGCGCAAACAGCAGGCCCGCGGCGAACGCGTCCAAACCGCCGTCGTGCTTCGCGGTGCCCGAACGCATAGCCGGGGACGGCAGGTCGGGCAGGCTGAACAAGGGGACGTCACGTAACGTCAGCGAGAAATGAACAGCTTGCAAGGATTGGGGAAGGAGTCGAGCTCACTTGACGACTGCAGAATGTGTGATCGCATCAGTATCAGATGTTAGGAAAGCCCTGCTTGCCAGCTGTACTGGCGGTATCAACCGTGAACGACAGAAGTCCAAGCGGCCATCCTGGAAAGAACAACTGCTCGTGACACGATATCGTTCGCGTCAGAAGAAAAGCGCAGTACGTGATCAGGTTCAGGCGCAGACGAAGCAGCTCACTTTTCAAAGCCTTTCGCTTTCTTGACCGGTACGTCGTAGTCGTTGGTCCGCTTGAACAGGTGGTACAGGCTGGTGAACTTGCCCCAGCCGTCGGCCATGCCGTCGCTGAACACCATGTGCTTGGTGTCGAAGAGGGCCGGGAACCGGGAGCGCACTTCCGCGGAGAACTCTGGCGGGGTGGGCGGCACGCCGGGACCGAACTTATCCAAAATGTGCATCAGATCTGCGCGGGAATTGGAAGCAGAGGTCACCCCGAGCAACGCCGCCCGATGGTGGTTTGGCTAGCGCTCTTCGGTACGGCAATCTGAAAGCATTTGTATCATGCGCTTGTCGAAGCTTCTGAGTGCGAAGCGAAGCGTCTGTTTTCTGGAACCGCACCGACTAAGACTTTCCTCTACCTCTCACGCAGTGCTTTGTCGCCAGGCCGCTGAAGGACACCCCACAGACTCGCAGCGATCGACGAGGGCACACTGATGCTGAACAAGAAGCGCCTTCACACTTTCACTGCGACTGCGTTTACCCCCTTACCGTTTCACCCTTTCCTCTAGCTCTCCTGCGCTTCTTGGTCACCAGGCGGCTTACGCAAGCCCGCAGGTTCACAGCAATAGCTCAAGACACACTGGTGTTGCTCTCTCAAATCATTGCAAGTGCGCGCCTCGCCTCACCAAGCATGCAGTTATGGCCCACAAGGAAGGCGGGCCCCCCTGCCAGCTCCTCGACGACCCGCTTGAACCCGGCGTTTTTGTCTATGTACGCCTGGGTCTGCGCCTCGATCTCTGTTCGCAGCCGCGCTTCCTGTGCGGTTTTCTCTTCTTCGCTCTCCGCGTATACAATCTCCAGCGTGCATCTCAACTTGGCTTCCGTGCCGGCCCCCATCTCGTAGGTGTGCGCGGCGGCATCGTTCAAAGTGACCGGCACTACCATCGGGAAGAGACGGCGCAGGGCCTGGGTGGGGCAGAAGCATCCAAGAAGTCAGTTTGCGGGCTTTGTGCCTTAGTTAGCATGAGGACGGGGAGGCTTTTCTGCAATTGCCTTTCTAATAGCTTTGAGCAGGTGGAAGATTGAGAGCTCGCCTTGATTGCCGTCTCACGGATAATGTGCCAGTGACTATAGATTGAAGAATTGGCCGCAGTAAAGTTACTGAAAAAAAGCAAACGAGAGCCAGACTCAAACTCCACATTTCGGGGTATCAAGCTACCATGCCGTGAGCAGCATCGAAGTATCACAGCTGCGCGCCGAAAGCAGGCTCTTCCTCACCTCAACAATCACTCGCCTTTGCAGCAGGGTCAAGGAGGGTAACCGAAGTCTCGATGAAGGCGCCTCTTCATGCGTTGAAGCAGCAAGGATCGCGCCATGCCATTCTGAGATCTGATGAACCATCTTTTCGATGGAGATGGTGTCCTCGGGGGACAGATCACCGTACTCGTGGTCCCGGAAAGAGGCCGCCTCCCGCAGCTTCCGATCCAGGTGCAGCTCCTTAAAGGAGCGCTCCCCATCGTCGGACAGATACGGAATGCCTGCGCAAGGCAACAATCAGGCTTAAGCATGAGATGATGCAAACTAACAGTGACGAACCTACTTCATTTTCAAGCACATCAGAATTTGGAATGAAGGTGATAATGCAAAGCCACTAGTGGGGGTTCCATTAATGGAGTTGCAAAGATGAGCTATTCAAAACTTTTGCTGCACCTCGACCCCGCACATTGAGATGGCCTAAGAAAAATCTGAAGGCCTGGGAAAAGCAGAAAGAGCACAACATTGCGCCTCACCATTGTTCAACGATTCTGTCATCTCGATCCTGTTGAGCAACAGGAACTTCAAGGAGGCCGCCTCGCAGTAGAACGAGGGGGTGTTCTTGACAGGGGGGCTGATCAGGAAGTTGAATGGAGACACCTCAAAGCGGCCCTTGCCTGGCTCCCACCGGAAGGGACACAGGCCAACTTGCAACACCACAAAGTTGGCGGCGCTCTGCTTCCTCTTGGCGTAGATCGTGTCCTTGTTGTCAAACTCGCCCATCTGCTGCCACGGCGCGGCGTTGATACCCGTGTATTCAAGGTCAAAGGCGACAAAGTCCGCTTCTCGGATTGCCTGAAAGACTCTCGGCAAGCTGTCCTGGAACGTGTGGCCCCGTATGCGCGTGTAATCAAGTAGCCCTCTAGGTTTCGATCTCGCCCCACCCGGCGACTGCCTCTTCTGCTTCGGAGCCGCCAGTCCCAAACCTGCTGCTCCGGTGTCTGCACCACCACTGGTCCCTGAGCTTTGCATGCTGCCAGTCTCAGGCGGCGTGTCAGAGGCCTTTTCGGCGTCCTGGCTGACTCCATCGCTTGTGACCGCTTCTGGAAAGTTGTCTTGAGCGATGGATGTGGTGGTGCTGGGCTCGACCGGTGCTACATCGTTGCTGCTGATGCTGCTACATGACCTGACCGGAGCCCATGGCGGTTCTCTCAAGAAAAGGTGACTCTTCCCAACCCAGGGCGCAGCAACGCAGGCTCGTAAGGAGCTCGGGGCCACAGATTTCTGAGGCGTCAGCGATTTCTCTTTGTGTGGGACTGCAGGCACAGCTAAGTGGTGGTAGTGTCGTCCATGTGACCTCCCTGCGCGAAATGCAGCTTTCAAAGAGGCCGCGTCCACAACAGCTTGGTGGGCAAATGAAAGTGCGCCTAAAGGCACTTGCTGCACCCGACCATCAGAAGCCCTTTTGAGGTTGGTTGCCACCGACTGGATGCGGTTCTTGTTTCGTCCAATGGGTGCGAATGTTTGGAAAGCTCTCCGGTTGAGAAGAAGGTTCAAGGTCGCTGATGCGCGAACAGCACTATACGAAAGCATGCCTCCCGGGGCGCAAAATCAGAACGCTAGCATCCCCTCTTCTGGTGGCCGCAGTTACCTGACAATTCAGGGACTCACCTACCGTGCTAGCCCATCTGACACTTTAAGTTTAACTGAGGACAGCTCCAATCCTAAGCTAGGCGCAGGAGGCGAGGAACCTCGGTGGCAAAATGTGGAACTAGATTCAGAGCCCAATGGCTCTGGTTCATACTCCGGGTTTCTCGGCGACAACTGTAGCCAGTAGGACGTAGGCACCCGTCAAATTCACCAGGTGTCGGGGATCCCCCAGGCTCAGAATGGGAGAGTCAGGACTCAGAAGCTAGAAGCTCTCGAGTCTTCACCCCTTCTTCACAAGGAGGATTCAGGGCAAACTCAGCGGCTAAAAGATGGAGGAAGATTGAGAAGGAAGAAGGACGGTCTAGGTTTCTTCTGCTAGGTGCTCTCCTGTACTAGAAGCTGGGATCAGCTCTTGAGTAGTAGCTTAATTGGCCAAATTGGGGAGGATCCACTAGCTGCGCTTTGTGGCATTGACGTGGCGCCAACATCGTCAACGCCAATCTCTTTCCTTAATCAACTGGATCTGGCTCGCAGTTTGTCATGAAGCGCAATCGCGGCAGGTGGATCAGAGGCCAGTGAAAATGATCAAAGCGGTCCTAATTATCAACAATGTTGGGAAGCCGCGCCTGACAAAGTTCTATGAGCCAGTAGTAAGTCATTCTTGCGACTTTTAAGAAGCAAAATTGAATCTGTTGCTGGGGTTCATGTGGAATCTTGCCTGCTTGAATGATATCTCCGTTTCCATAAGTTGCTCCTATCAAATGTGTTATCTGTTTCCTATGTGGCAATATAAGATGAGAGCTCTCAGCAGCAGGACATGGTTGCGAGCAGTGCTTGCATTGGCCATTGCATCAGGGTTCGTGTCAGCATTGGCAACCTCCAGAGCGATTATCAGCACCTGCCCCTCTGACGAATTGTCGTCTCTGGGTCCGCTCAAGCATTGACCGTGAAGGGTGGTCAGGCCCTTCATGGGTCCGCTCAAGCATGTCACTCGCTTCAAGAGCAGGTGCAGGATTACGGTTCAATCGGTTTCAAAAGGGACTGTGTGTAAGTGATACGCTCTTAAAGTGTGCAGGTTCCTGAGAAGCAGCGTGAACTCATTCGCACAACCTACTCGATCCTTTCAAAGAGGGCGGATAATCTGTGCAGCTTTGTTGAAGATGAGAGCGCTTTTGGCAAGGTGAGCGCAGCACTGCAAAGAGGGCACTCCCAGAGGATATTAATGGCAGCTCTTGAGAGGCTTGGTCAAGACAGGAGACAGTACATGCTGCTCGCATGTTTAGGTTGCAAGTCTTTTGTAATGATCCAGAAGATATGACCTTGGCGCACAGCAGCTAAACACAGCGATGAAATTCAAGCAGGTGATTCAGGAGAATTGATGACCATGCAAGGTGCTGGAGCATTCAGCCCCTCAAAAGCCTAGACCTCTGAACTATGCAGGGAACGAAGGTGGTGTACCGTCACTATGCCACACTCTACTTTGTGTTCATTGTTGACAACACGGAGAGCGAGCTAGGCATCTTGGACCTCATCCAAGGTGAGTGAATACAAATCTGGAGCCCTCACAAAAAGCGACCTCTTCTGTCCTGCTCTTCCACCTTAATATTCAAACTGATTGAGTCTGCTCTTGGATCAAGATCTGCTCATTTCTGCCTGGCAACATTCAAAAATGAGAGGTCCTTGCTGTGTTGCTGGTTCCAAACAGCCAGGGTTGCATTCTGCTTGTTCTTTGCTGTCGGTTTACACTAGTTTATAGCCTTCGGCAGGTCACCCGTCCGCGCGAACCTTTAGGCCCAAAATTCTTGAAATGAACAATCCTCATAAGCATCTTTCAAGATTCCTCGCAAATAAGTATACGGATATCTGACCGCTTCCACTCATAAGCCAACAGGAACTGCTCGGCTTGCTTGCCGCTTGCCACAAGCATTTTAATGACGAGGCATCTTCCACTCCAATCTTGAACTTTTAAATGCTGCCTCAAAGTTTCCCTATTGACCAGAGTGGGGGCAAGAAGAAGCTTTATATGGCTCCTATCAACAGCAGGGTAAAAGACGATTTCATAAGGCTCCAGTTTACCGCAAGGCAAAAGAAAGCTTTTGAATGCCGCCCTCTCTCTATGCAGTATTCGTGGAGACACTCGACCGCGTGTTCCAGCACGTGTGCGAATTAGATCTGGTGCACAATTTCCCGCGCGCTAATGCCGTGCTGGACGAGATCGTGATGGGCGGCCAGGTGCTCGAGACCAACAGCGCCGATGTGGTCAAGGCACTCAGCGACATGCAAAAGTGAGGCCCTAGATCATCTTCAAAACAAACGAAATTCATCAGGCGAAGTACATAGTCTATGCACAGAAGAAGAGGGGCGCGCTTGCTTGCATGTACATGGTCTGCGTTTTCGTCTTTTTCGAAAGCAGGGTCTTCTGTCTTTGTAAGGTGTCGTGTCTTTGCTTGAATGTGGCGTCTTAAACCTGACGTGTGAAATCAAGGGTTGTTCCTCAACAACCAGGCGTCCTTGAGATGAGGCTGACTTGTGAAGGATGAGGACTGCTGGATTGATATCTCGAACGAATCCATGATTGATCCATCCTAGCTCGTACCTTTTGTGCAAGGGCGCCGTTTGGATCCGTCAACTACCCTTTCTGGGGTGATGTGAATATCTGCCGGCATTCAGTTACCGTTATATCTCCTCTGGCACAGCAAACTTCAAATCGATCTTGAAAAGACGGTCGTTCTTATTGAATGCAGGTTGGATAGGCAGCCGAGTGTGACCACCATCCGAGCACCCGGTGCTTTGCGAAGTTAAGTGAGTTCCAGAAACGTACCAAGTTCAGAGATTGGTAATTTCAGCCCTGCTCATCAAGTGCAGCTAGCAGCCCGCAAGACCATGTTTGACGCAATAATGGTCAAGCCGGGGTTTACAACGATGCATCGATGCAACGACGATCGATGCCATGGCCAGTCCAAAAAAATTGAACATGTTCATACCTGACAATTGCTTGACGACACTTTATCACCGGTACCGTCATGAATAGAAATTGCCCGGCAATATAGAATCGACCATCGGTGTGATTTCAAGGTTTTCTGCAGCAGCTAGGATCGCTGGGTTATAGTCGGTCATGAAGAGCTTCTTGTTTGCAAAGGACATATACATATGCGTAATATATCGGATCGAATTTCTTTATACTCGTGTACAGAATCTTCATCCAGACATGCGCGTGAGGAAGCATGTGAACATGGACGGCTGGGCATGCACTTGCACAACAGCTTTTCAACCCGTGCATGTGACATGCTGATTTTTGGAAAGTGGCTTATAATCTGGATGAGAGTAATTCGATTAAGAAGTGGGCGTACACCCGCATAATCGCATGTATCTCCAACACCAGTTCTTTCAGGATTGGGAACTCTTAGACAAAAGCATGCCGCGCTCCGAAGAGGTCTGACTTTGCAACGCAGCAAGGACAAGCGCCAATCGCTCGCTTACTTAAAATGGACAGCAAGTTCTGCATAAATGTGACACTGTCGTACCTAGAACAGCAAAGGAACAATTGCTTTTCTTTCTTTAGGATAATCCTCGAACTTTGTAACGTACCATCGTCTTGCTAGCTGTGCAGCATATGTCAAGTTGGCGACCTACAAGACGAACGAAGCGAAACCTTCAGCAATGAATGGCTGGAGAGCTAATGGCCGTGACAATCGTAGAACGTGCCAACAACTCCGACAGCTTGGTTGAGTTGCTCCCAGTCAGAACAAGATACTTTCGGCTACTAGAGTACAGCCCAGATCGGGCAATGAGTAGAGCGGGACCCTACTTGTGCGTCCAAAGCCGGAGTGCCACAGAAACAGACTTTGGACCCTTCAAGGAAAGTGCTTGGAGTGAATCGGACAGCCGCTTGTCCTCGAAGCAACTTGTGAAGCATGTGTTCCAAGGCATGTGTCCAACTAGCCTCCGCTATGTTTGGTTCTTCAATTCATCATGCACTCCAACCCCTGCCTAAAGCTCCACCGAGCGAATCCAGAGGCTACAAACAATTTTACAGGCTGAGAGAGAGTCTCTGTACCCGGAAAAAGCAATACTTACCACCCAGGAGAACATGAGCCAAATAGTGAGATCCTTTCCTTCACTCACGACGACCAAACCTAGGTATAGAAGCTGCACACGAGGAGAGCACTCGTTGGAAACTACACGGAAGATGTTCACACCGTCCATAAGCAGAGGAAGAGCCTGCGCTTACAGCAGGGATATGCGGCGCAATCTCTTGTCTGATCCGTATGCACATGGTGGTGGCTGCGGCCACAAGCACGCGGTGAACGAAGTTGTACACATTGACAAGCATTCGGAAGAGCCGTCGAGAAGAGCGACCTTACAATTTCTGCCAGGTAGTGCGGACAGGCGACCCATTCGAACCAGTCCCCCCGAGGGATTCTATAGACCGGGATCTTGTCGAAGGGGCCTGACCGATGTCGTAGCCCAGCCTGCGTGCAACACTTTCCTGATCAGAAACCAGAAGGTTGGGAGTCGCGTCCAGAGATCGTCATCTGGTGGGCGAACTTTGTGAAGTCGTCAGATCCGCTTGAACGAAGACCTTTCAGAGCAGGCCCGCAACACGAAGAGCACAGCGCGTCACCCTGGGCCTTACTTCTGAAGGTGCGTTGCAAATCAAACGCAAAACGGCAAGGACTGATTACACTGCCGGGAGCAGTTTTTGTTTCAGCAATGAAACGAAGACGTGGAGTGGACGATCGTGTTTCAAAGCAGTTCTTGCCAGCACAAAGCCAAAGATGCGCAGTCTGAGTTGCTCACCAAAATTTGCCCCAGTTGATGTTGCTTGATGTTGGCAAAGATAAAGAGGAGGCCTCCCAGCACTTCGTGCCAGGAGAAGAGGCCCCAGACCGTCTTCACCTTCTTGGAGCGGTGGACATAGAGGGTCAAAGGTGCCGCCACGTAGTAACTGCATAGAACGACTACTTGTCTAAGAAAACTCTCAGGCGCCGACCTGGTCGAAAGCAATTGCACCCTCACGTACCTTCAGCAGACTTCAAAAGGAAGAGTCTACTTGCGGAAGGACGTGAGGTACGAGCGCGCATCCTTTCAATCAACCTGCCCAAAAATCCTCGATTAGAATCTCAGTATGATTCAACTGAAAAAGTGACCAGAAACATGGGCGCAGAAGCTACTTACCAGAGGCCGTACACGTAACTCGCAATGTGCATCCTGGACCCCGGGGCGTGCTTCTCCAGCATCGTGCTTTCGCACAGCCGCCGAGCAGTGTGAACTAGCATGAGGGCCAGCAAGAAGATGGACTCCGCATGTTCGAAACCCTCAGCGAACGGGTGTGGTTTCTTGGGCTGGGGTGTGTCTGACGGTGAGGGCCAGAACCTGAAGTTCTCGGGATAGAACGTGTGGTGAATGAGGCCGAGGGTGCTCATGAAGCCAACCAGGTAGAAATGGGAGAAGTAGTCCTGGGGGACCGTGACGTCCTGCACGCAGAAGAAGAGTGCTTACACGATGCTTGCGGCAAAGTGCTTACATGATGCTCTTGTTGTTGGTCTCTGGTTCTGCTGTCCTGCGTTCTGAGGGCATGCGAGAGAGAAGGTTGACTTAGGATGTGCTGTGGCTTCTTAAGCCTCATGATGTCTGGACAGAAGTTTTTTTTAGTCACGCAGAAAGAGCATCTCGTTCAGCGATATGTTTGGTAGCAAACCCGTCACATTCAATCAAGTGATTGATTAGCCACTCTACAGACTCTTGTGCTGGCAGAGCATGAATGATGGTCAATCATCTGACGTCAAATCGTATAGGCTCCATCATTGTCGCATCACTCACCCACAAGCGGGCCAGGGGCCCCTTCTTCGCACCAGGATCGACTTTCTCAACAACCCGAAGCTTCCCCCGTCCCGCACTCTTCCGGAGGAAGCGCTGGTAGAAACCAAATGGGAGAACACCCAGGACCACAAGAGTAGTTGACAGCAACCAGAAGACTCTCAGTGCGCCGATGAGAAAGCTCCCAGCCAGGGCGTCAGATAGAACTGATGCGCCGGAATCCACTGCCTGTTCCATCACTTCTGCAGATTGTCGACGAACTGACTCCTAGAAAGCCCTTGCCGATGACCCTTCAGCCCTTGGACATCTGGGTTCTCCCCTGCGAGGCAGATATGATTATACTTGTCTCAAAAACTTTGGTTGCTGTAATATGTGGCATCTGGTAGCTGGAATGTAGCAACATTCTTGACTACAGTAGAGAAAATCAGATGAAAAGCCTGAGAACATGGTGTACCTCAAAAGAAGTGCACACAGTATCGTCATCTAGAAGCTTGACCGCAAAATCGTCAGCAGCTGTTTGTTCCGCAGGGCTTTGTTTCTCAATGCGTCCAAGAACTACAGAGCAAATCCTTTGAAGTTACTGAGCTCACAGGTCTGCCACAAGGCATCAGGGGCAGGTCCGTCGAAGACAACGTCCCCGTCATTGACAACATCACTGACAAGGTTTTTAGAACCAGTCATTCTGCAATTCCCTGGACAAATCCCTGGATAGAATTACCTAGCTTCGAAACCAATGTTGAAGAAGTTGATGCTGTGCTGTTTCTTATCTTGCAGCTTCACTCATTGATATGTGGCGTAATAGCTTGGCAAGGTAATAACAGAGCCCAACTTTTTTAAAAGCAGGGAGGAATCACCTGTCAGTGTCACTCTCCCACCGCACTCTGAGCACTATAAAGTACTGCCGAAACGTTGGCTGCACAAAGTCTTGCACACCAGCACCAATCAGAAGAATGTGAGAAACTAACATTGACAGCTTACCAGCTTTGGCGCCTGCGCAGAATCCAGCACAATCGGCTCACAATTATGTTTTTTTCTAGCTGGCTCCGCCCCAACTTGAGCCCCTTCGAATGCAGACGCAAGGGGGGGAGCGAAAGCGAGAAAGGGAAGAATGGTGGAATGGAAGGGAAAAGAAGGGATCGCTGGAGGAATGAAAAGCAAAACAAGCACAACGTCTCAGACACGGGCGCCTACGACGATGTTTTGAAGGCGAATTTGTGGCGAATGTTGCTCTTCTAGCCAAAGACGTTGCACCGACCGGCTGTAAACCAGGGATGCGGACAGGATTTTGCCCCGGGGCGCTTCTGCGCCCCGGGCCTTTGCCCTGGGGCGCTGGCCAGCTTCGCTGGGGCGCAGAAAGTAGTACCGGGCTCCAAATACGCCCGGTTCCCTTATCACGTGCTATATTACGGGCCTGCATGAGACGCCTTATACTCCTCCAGAAGTTGAATTATCTATGGTACCTATTGGATCAAAACGCTACTGACTACATTTCGCTTATACAGGCAGTAGTTGCAAATATGTATAAGAAGATTTTCTCATCTGGCACAAATTGTCAGATAATGATCCGATAAAATGCTGGCAAGTAGGCACTTATAATACTGAGATCCTCATCCAAATCGTCAGCCAGCGCTTATGGCATATGTCATCTCACCTGTAGTATAGCCTGTTCAAATTTTACCACATAAAGTATCCGAATATAGTCCATATTCATGCTTAGGCCCAGATTTGCCCGGGGGCGCTTCTGCGCCCCGGCCCTCTGCCCGAGGGCGCAGGATATTTCCCGGGGGCGCTCCGCGCCCCATTCTGCGCCCCGCCAGCACCCCTGCTGTAAACCGCAAGAACGCCTAGATCTTGCGGAAGCGCACTTTCAGCAAAATTTCGGAGAACCCGCTCCGGATACCGTTTCTTGGGCACATTTAACTTTTATGTAGATTCCAGGGATTTGTTGCCATTTCCCCATCCTGCCCCTTTCACATTCTAGCTGCCGCTTCCCATTCTGCCCCATGTGCACAGGTTCTGCGGTGAAGAGGTGTGTCGTTGGTAGCAGCTAGAGAGTCGATTCCTTCTACGTGCAAGCATAGGAAAGGAAAGAGCAAGGTACCAGCTTGCTTGTTTGGTGCGAGGCGAACGAAGGCCGCGCACTTTGACCTGCGGGCTAGCGTGCTAAAGATGGGGCATCAGGATGTTGACACTCTTTCTGCAGAATGGAAGGAGTTGACGCAGCCACAGGGTGCTCCGCTGGCACGCAGCTCGCATGCTGTTGCAGTGATTGGAAGCAAGGTGGGCTGGCAGTTTCCATCAGTCCTTGGAGGATAGGACAAGCCCACAAACCTTTGCTGGTTCCTAAACCCAGCAGAATGTGAGGGTCACAAGTAAGCATGAAGGATGCTTGCGAGACTCTGACCTCATAAACAGTCAATGCAGCTAAACGTCAGACTGTTGTGCTCAGAGGGCTGACCATTTCGAAAAAGACAAACCTGTGGAAGTTGCCAGTCATACTTTTTGAGGCCAGGGATAATCTGGTCCAGAATCTGGCGAAAGGGCAAGCTTTTTGGTGCTTATACTCCAGATGCGCACTGCTTCGTGAAAGTTGCATTTGCTTTATGCCATTGAGTACGGTGATTGAGTGAATGTCAACATCTAACTAGATTAGGTGCCTTTGGATAGGATTGATGCATTGATGAAGCGGCTGACTTGCCTTGTGAAACCTGGTGGGTAAAAAAGCTGGGTTTGCATACTCACCTGCTCTGGTGCGCCTAGCTTAAAAGAGCTTTGAAGCTGCTATTTCTGAGCACTGCTGTTTAGCCTTCCAGTCCACATTCCACAGGCCTATGTATTTGGTGGCGAGCACAAGCCGCGGGTGCCGATCGACAACTCCCTCCACGTCTTTGACCTCAACCAGCAGGCTTGGTATGTGGAGATAGCGAAGGGCACTGCCCCCCCGGCACGCCTGGGCGTCACACTGGTGGCTGTGGGCAAGACGCTGTTTATCTTTGGAGGTGCGAGGCTTTGCTATCTGAAGGAGGAAGTTAGATTCGTTGTTCAGAGATTGATACCCGAAAAGTCCGAAGAGGAAGCTTGGTTTTGCCATGAGCTTGATGTTGACATGTGGGTAAAGATTAGTGACCTCACAGTCTCTAGCTGGATATGGCATTCGGACATACCCACGTAGGCTATATCAATGAGCATACGTCCATTTCAACTTTCTGCTTTTCTTTCTTTCGTTCTGTCCCAGAACGACACCTCAGACCGGGAGCCTTTCATTTGTACCACATGATTGTGCATCACATTTGCCCAACATTCCCTGTTTAGCTCCCACCACCTAGGGTGCCTGGACTGACATGAGATTTGTCTGTGCAGGCCGGAACGGTGATAAGAATGAGCTGTCCAACCTGTATGCTTTCAATACTGCTGCTGGCGAGTGGCGGGACCTGACTGATCTCCCAGGAGCGCCGGCGGGGCGGTCGTACCACGCCGCGGTGGCGGACGAAAAGCGCAAGTCCTTCTTCGTGTTTGGCGGGTGCGCGGCGGACGGGAGGCGCAACGACCTGTACGAGTTTGACACCAGGGCAGAGGCGTGGACGTCCTACCCGACGTCAGCGGAGCTTCTTCCGAGGGGCGGGCCGGGATTGGCGGTGGTGAGAGAGAAGGTGTACGTTCTCTTTGGTGAGTGGCGCCTATTTCGGACTGACTATTTCCAAGCGTCTTACACTGGTTGGTGGTGGCGTTCAGACGAAGCTTCAAACAGATGCTATGCTGATGATCCTCAAGCGAGAAGCGCTGCAACCTTTGCTCAACCGTATTCCCGTTCACATTCTGTGGTCCTTCCGAAAACGACGTTCAAGATTTGCATTCGTGTAAGCTTGAAAGCAAATTCGAGTGGACTGGCGGATGTCAATCGAACAGCTGAGATGGCAGAAGTAGGAAGTTAAACGGCTCCAAGGACCTCGTATGAATTCAAATCGGGTCTCGTTTTTTGAGTCTTTCACCACTGTCATCCTCAGGGTTTTCTGGTAAGGAGCAGGGCGACATCCATGCGTTCGACCTGAAGTCCCAGACGTGGCAGCAGCTGGAGACGAGTGGCGAAACGCCCACTCCTAGAAGCGTGCTCGGCGTAACGTCCTTCAATGACCGATACATCGTGGCCTTCGGTGGAGAGGTAAGATCCGGCCGCACAGCAACCTGAGCTCCTCCGTCGTTTTCGTGTCATTGCAAAGGGGCTTGTGCAAGTCTCCAACCTGTCCTCTTCGCTTCAGCTTTGCTGACTCATGCAGGGCTTTTTCATTGGAGTAGCCGCCTTTCATGACTCCTCGTTGACATGTTACCCAATTCACTACTTAACAACAATCGGTAGACTTAGACTGACAGGAGTAGAAAAAATGGCAAGAAGAGCCCGGATGGATCGTTCCAAAGGTGGACTGGTAGTCGCGCTAGATCAATGTACATCTTCAGAATCACATCATCCGTAAAGAGGCGTTGTCTTATCCCGTGCAAACTGAATCTTGTCCACGTCAAACATTGAACAGAAGCATGTCTGCCTGTGTTCTTTGGGACCCACCCGCATCTATGTCATCAGTGCTAACATTCACGGAACCTAATTGTTGTCCTCCAACTTCAATCTACTCTGAAATCCGTTCTACATTCCATCTCAGTCCGATCCGAGCGATAAGGGCCACGAGGGCGCCGGCGCATTTTCCGACGAAGTTTTCATTCTTGACACCACGTCGCTGCGGTGGTCGAGACCTGAGTTGCGGACGGAGGTTGGTGCCAAGCCGCCCTGTGCGCGCGGCTGGTTTGCATTCGCTCCAATCGGAAGGTCCATGTTTATCTACGGCGGAAACTCAGAAACGAACGAGAGGCTTGATGACTTACACCTCCTTACTGTCGGCACTGCGTAGCATATTCCAGCTAGGAACTGCCACCTTTTGAGTACCCGTGTAGCTTCCGAGGACTTTGCCTGCTCGCGAATCTTTGATTTGAACAACCTTCATGCCCATCCTGATTCTCGATGTAGATGTTTGTAATAGCAAGGCAAAAGATGAAGATTAGGAACGCGCAGACGTCAATCTGGAGCTCAATATGAGCATCCTCTAGTGTAGTGCTGCAGTGCAGCCGGTACGGTCATTTCAAGCCTTCCAGAAGTGTCCATCGTTGTGCTTGTTTGTCCCGACACGTATACATATGCGAAGCAGGGGGAAGGAAGGAGGAGGGAGAAGGAGCGGGGGGGAGGATGGGGAAGGGATGGGGAAAGAGGGATGAGAAGCGGAAGGAGGAGGAGGGACCGGAGGGGCGAACGTGATAGAGGGAGGGCGTCGAGCCTCAGGCCCATCGAGGTTTATGTTGCACAGACGTGCTGGCAAAACGAAGAAGTCAGGCTTTATCTGGACACACTTACACATTTGTACGGAGCCGGTTTGTACGCCGTGCAATCCTTGGTCGTATTCAGCCGCCTTTTCTTCATGGTCCATGTTGACGCGTAGAAAAGTCTCGTATGGCAACCATTAGGTCGCATAATCGATGCCCGGCTAGCTAGCTGCAGATTCGAGTGATATATCCATAAATTTGCTGAGCCCAAAGCAATCATTAATGCCTATGTCACGACACTGTGAACATTGCATGCTGCCGCACTGCATGAGTCACGTCCTCATAGTGAGCGCCTCGACCTCTAGCGCTTTCTGAATATATGTACTTAGTCTGTCATATATAATCAATCCGCATAAGCTGTCCGCGCGGTTGGATTGCAGCATGAGCACTAGGCGGCTAGCTGAAGTATCATGCATGTTGTGAAAATCTAGCTTCATGCCGCCGCGGTAGTGACCATTTCAAGTTTTGAACATGTCCGACATACAGGTTCTGCATGTGACCAGTATGACCGTCGTGCAACCATTCAATGACTGCAGCAAGACATGGCTCATGCATGGCCAGGCCGCCGGGCCACATTTGTGTGCACCATAACCGGTCATGGCATGTGCGCAGCCGCAAAACAATCTCAAAGTAACGGAGAGCTCATATCTGGAGGCCCCACTTGGGAGTTGCTCATTGAAATAGCATTAAGATCAATAAGGCGGAAAAGCAACTTGTCCCGAAGAGCATATGTTGCAGTCATCAGGTACTATCCTCCTTCACCGTTCTGTTGATTAGGTAACTCGTCATTGACCTCGCTATCTGCTTGAGTTCTTTCCCGTCTTCGTCTCTTGAAGGATTGCTCGACCGCTCTTCGCAGATTGAGGAGGTGCTTGTCTATATCTGCTGAACTGTCTGTGGGCGAGACACTGCTCGCAGGATGCGCGACCTCACCTTTCTCGTGCCTGCTCTCGACTCTCTGACTCGCAGTTTCTGCAGCTGCTATTCCCCCTACCTCACTTGGTAGACCCACTTCGAGATCACCAGCCTGCACAACGCTATCGAGCCCATCATTTGGGTTCCAACGTCCCTCATCCACCTCTAACGCTGCACGGGCCTTCCGAGGTGACTCTGCTGGCTTCTCGCTTGAGTCTCCCAACCCCGTTTGTTCTGCAATCTTCCGGTGCTTCTTTCTTCTCGAAGGCTCACGTGTCCTTTTCCCTGGGATTCCCGCCACTTCTTCGCTCTCCCCTCCTTCTTTCCGTTTCTTTTTGGAACGGTGGGGTCGTCTTTCTCTAGACTCGTCCCTCCGTTGTTCCTTAGTCGGCGACCCTCCCTCCACCACTTTGTCGGCATTACCTTGCCACCTGTCCCCTTCGTCTCTTGACGCGTCCTTCCATTTCTCACGTGAGGTCTCCGGTTCTCGATTGTTCCTTTCATTGACCAGTGGCCCCGGCGCCCATTCTCGTCCCTCACTGAGCCGTTCATCCCTTACCGACACTTCCTCACCCCACCGACCACCCCGACCCCTTCTGCTCCGTTCCTCCGAACCGTCTTGCGTCCGGTCCCTTGACCGACTTCTTTGGCTCCCCCATCTGTCTGTTTCGCCAGACCCCTCCCGGCGCCTCCTCTCCGATCGTTCCCGGTGCCCACTCTCCGATTGCCGCCAGCCTCGTTCGTCCCGGTCTTCCCTCCCATGCCTTCGGGCCTGCGGACTCTGACTCTCACTTCGATACGTGGAACCCCACCCTTCGTTTGACCCCTTCCGTCTGTGCGACCGGTCCCTCTCCCGGTCCCTCTCCCGGTCCCTCTCCCTCCTGTCAACCGACCGCTCTCTCTTACTCCTGCGACTCTCTGAGTGCCACCTGTCATCTGCTCCGTACTCTCTTCTTCGCTCATGCCTGTCCGAGCCCCTCGAGGGCGACCGAACCGACCGCCCCTCGCGCCTGGAGGCACTTCTGTACGGCGTGGCTTTGTCCGCCGAGCGGGACCGGCTCCTGCGGGACGGTGCGGGCTGGTCCACCGGGCCGAAGTCGGCCTGCGCGAAAGCACCCCCCGGGTTGCGGAAGCAGTGCAGGTAGTTGCAGTTGCCGCCGTGCTGGCACCGCTGGAACAAGAGAGAGAGACGGCTTAGCCCGCAGAAGAACAAGCAGGCTTTGGAGGCGGGCTTTCAGACGCGGAGCGATCGCGAAATTGTTCGTCGATATGGTGAAGGCTTGTACTCTTCTGGTCCCCGGTTGACTGCTGCCGTGGGTGTGTCCTTTCTCTTGCTTTCGGCACAGCACAATCTCCGCTTCCCCCGGAGGTAGGAGACTGCAACCCTAGCACTGGTGACCCTCGCCGAGAACAAGCTTTCATCCTTCAACGATGGGTGTTCTATAGAGGACAGCTCATGGACGCCGCGTCGACTCACCCCCGTGGTCCGCTGGATTCCGCAGATGGCTGCCCTCCACTGGGTGAAGGGGGCGTACTCGCAGACGAGCTGGACGAGCATAAGACGTGGCGTTGGGACTGCTTGTCTCATCGAAGCTCAGTAGAATAACCGGCAACTCAGCGGGAAATGTCACGGCTCACGAAGACACAATAGCAGAGACGACACGACTCCCTTGCGCTTTAGCAGGTGGCTTGCGAAGGTCAGTCCCGTCTTGAAAACCGGCAGACGTTTTGAGGCTCTCGCAAAATCATCTCCCGACAATCTTTTCACGAGACTCCAGGTATTCGAACAGGTGCCAGACAACCTTCACCGGATGCACGATCGAACAAACAGGCCTGCTGCCGAGAAACACAAGCTCTGATCGTACCGTTCAAGAACAAACAGGATAGCCAACCTGCTTTCCACTGTAGAAGCGCCCGCGGATCGCCGCAAACGCCTGGACAGCAGCCTGCTTGTCCGTGAACGAGACGTACACGTTGCCTCTCAAGTGCGGACCCAGGTTTCGGCACACCTGGGAAGTGGATAAATATACGGGTTGTGAGCACGCTGGAACCACGTGTGGTGCGCTCTGTCGTGGCACATTCTGGGGACGTCGTTTCGGTCTAGCCTTTCGCCAAGAAAGCAAGCCGCTCTCACTTCGCTGTTGGAGTCCCAATTGCGAGCCTCATAATCTCGAGTTTAATTCGATTCAATTCTTCGATTCAAGGCAATGCGCGGACAAGCTAGTCATGACAAGCTCTTCCTGGGCCTACAATCATTGTGTTCATCTATGTGCCAGATCTGCAGAGCAGCCCGGCACTTCGCTGCACCGTGTCCAATCGAACAATATCCTAGGTCGAACATAGTCTACTTGAAGGCAACGACAACAGCTTACCTTGAAGTTCGTAACGGTCCCATGCGCTTCAAACTCTGGCAGGACGTCGTCATAGAATTCCTCAAATTCTCGACGAACCTCGTCTTCAGTAAGCTGCAGGAGGCAGATCAAGGCGAAACAAAATGTGCACATGTTTTGCAACGACATGGAAGTCCTAGAAATTGTCTGTGTTCGCCACGAATCACAGACAATCTGCAGGCAAGTCGACATACCCTTTTGAAAAGGAAACCTTTCTGGAAGCTCGAGTGTGTGTTTTTGATTCAGATAGACCACCATGTAAAACGACCTTACAAGCGACACAGCACGGGTAAGAACAGAAGGTGCTCTTCTTGTACCTCCAAGTTAGCATCATCTTCCGTTCTTGCAACTCCCGGCGACCCAAGGCCAGTAAACATTCCCCTGATCATGATGACATGCGAAGGAGAAGGATACGGATGCTTGCGGCTGCACTTGTCAAAGTGTCGACAGGCGCCAGTCCGCATGAAGAACTGGCACAGCTCCCGTTTGTCCTGCATTGGAAGGACAACCGCTCTTTCATTGGCAGGCCCTGCGTAAAACAAACAAACTCAAGTGCAGAATGCTTTACACCTGATCAAAGAGCCAACATCGGCATGTTTGTGAGAACTGACTCTTAAGACGGGCAGCAGAGTTTTGCGACCTTGGGAGCTGGATAACGAAGTTCAGATGCTGCCAACTCTCTAGTGCTGCCAACGCTCTATGTCACACTTACCGCGTCTGATTCTGCCTGAGCCAGGAGCACAGCTGTGTCTGGAAATTGGATGGGAACGTACAGCGGATTGTGTGTTGGACCGTCCTCCTGCCAAGAATCAAAATGTACTTTTGGACTCGAGTAGATCTGTGTCTGTGTTCCTTAAGCCGAAGTTCTACTCAATTCGATCTGTGTCTCTGCTCGTCAAAACATAATGGGGAAGCAGGACATCTTTCCTTCCCTGTGCATTCCAGCAGTAAAGAGAATTCCTTGTCAGGACGGCAGGAACAAAGATCACCTATGGACGGCTTCGGTCATGAAGATGTTGTAGATACGTCACAATTCTTGCTCACCTTGATGGCAGGTTCTACCTCACTTTTCTTGACCTTCCTTTTTCTGACTGTGATCTGATTGCCCTCCCAGATGATCTCGGGAGGCCCGTCTATCTCTTCTTCAGACTCTGTGTTGCCTGCTTGTGGTGGCTCTGCTTCTGGTGGCTCTGCCCGCTCCTTGGGCACGCTTGGAGTTGGCTCTAGCTCTTTCACCACCTGTGCAAGTGTTGGCAAATGGGAAGAAAACTTCACGAGCATAGCCATAGCTGCCCCAAGGTCACATGGTGCCTTCAAATATGTTTCATGATTGTTACAGCAATTGGCGATCCAATGAACGACTTCCTTTGATTGACCAGGTTGAGCAAGAAATTTTCTTAGGCCATGAAGGAACTGGGTGGACTTCATGACTCCTCTGTCAACTCCACATCCTGGAATTGATGAAAATCAGTACAGGGACAATTCCAGACCAATCATCTGGAGCACCACACAAGCAGAGACAGCAACTTGCTTGCCTTCTCCTCCTCGACAATCGAGGCAGCTTCCAGCTTCTGTGCAGTAGCGGCAGCCAGAATCCTCTCTTGCTCAAGCCACCGTGCTTCATTTTGCCTGTGCTGCTCTTCTTCCAGACGCTGTTTCTGTTCCTCTGCTGCTTGCTACACACACGAAAATGGTGGCAGTCAGGACTTCTTCTCAATTTCTAATTTTGACAGGTGATATCTGGACAATCCTTGATCATCTGGAGGGATTAAACATGGCAGTGCTCAAGTCTCTCCTAGATATCACCGTGAACAAAAAGCAAGAAATGGCAAGGGGGGCTGAATAAATTCTAAAGAGCATTTGCAATCATCTGCTTCAATGGGCCAACTGTATGACATACCTGGTCTAGCAACCGTCTCTGGTGTAAAGGATCCTTTGCGAGGGCGTCTGCTTCCTTCTTCAGGTCCTCAGCAGCCTTGATTCTTTGCTGCTTCCTTTTTGCTTTCTTAGCAAGCCTACGTTTCTCCTTCCGTGAGACAACCCCTCCTTGGACACCAGGTGCATTTTCAGACTCAACTTCTTCGATCGTTGGTGGCGTCCCCTCCAATCCATCGCTTTTCGTCACTGCACCACCCCCGTCATCAGACTCCGGGGCAACTCCAGGCTGTGCCAGTTGCTCCATTGAGCCGCTTCCTCACAATTGCTCAGCTGCTCATGACCTGCTTGCTCATCCCTCACAGGCTCACTGCATCAGGACGCCCCTCGTTTGCCGACCTTAAGTAATAAGTCTGTTCAGAACGTCGCCCTGTTCTGAAGTCGGACCAACTTTGACAGAATCCTTGAAGTGGTCCAGTGTTTGAGTCACCCAGTGGGCCTGAGGCCCTGAGCAGTGATCAGTCATTTTGATCGCATTCACTGGCAAGTGAGTCCTCAGAAACTGCCTTTCAAAAGCTGGTGAAGCTAGCGCTCTGCTGCCCTACAGTATCAGGTGCAACTTTACACGAAGCAGCTGGCACTCTGCCTGGGTCAGCCAATGGGCTGGCTATAATGGAAGCCATTGCGACCACCACTTTCAAGCCAATAAGTTGGCCTCATCTGAACGATGGAATGCTGTGTCTAGATGCGGTCACAAGCGGTGATGAAGGGCACGCCTTGGTCGACTTTTATACGCAGCGCTATGCCCACTCTGCTTCTGTTGTTGGCTGGAAGCTCAGAATAGAAAGAGGACAGGTCATGGTAGGCAAGGAAGTCTGCAGAGATCCCCAACAAAGATTACGGTGATTTCTCTTTTCGTGCACGACTCCTGTGGAATTTCTGGAACTTTGTAGCAAAGTCAACAGGACAGTTTCAGATATTTCACTCGATGAGGCCTGAACTGGCTTTTGTTGAGGAAGCTTCGTAGCATTGGGCACCAAGACAGAGAATGCAAACTTGAAGACCCCGCTGAGGTGCAATAGGTTGCTCAAAAATCCCTTATAGCCCTCCTCTTATTGTCGAGCAATGAATGTTCCTTCTAAACCACGGTTCTGACGCCCCCCATTCACTCTGCAGGCAGGGGACAACACTTGAGTATCACCGATTGCCCTGGCAGGAGCCAGATGTTCCGTATGCACTGCCTGTCCTGTATGAAGACGAGCACATAGTAAGTTCCCCCTTGGCGCCCCATCTATCAGCTCAACCCTGCTTCTGATTGATTGCTTGCCTATGATCGCTGGGAGTCTTGATTAGTCCTGGCTAACCGATCCCAACAAATGTGTGTGGGGCACATGATTTCGTTCTCTGACACCTGATTTTGTTCTTTGAAGTGTTTCATTCCAACAGTTGTGCGTCAATCGGTTTCACCAGGACTTCATCACAAGCCCTGCCCAGTGGCCCCAACGGATCGTCCAGCCACATTGCCACAACCTTATAGCTGAGCTTATTCTGTCGCCGCAGTTGGCGGTGTCAAAGCCATCTGGCCTGCAAGTCCTGCCCGGCGGTCCTTTTCACCAGAGGACGGCCCTGACACTGCTGCAATGGTGGTACACAAGGGGCGGGGTAACTCCAGCCCCTGTTCATAGACTGGGACGGGGCACGTCGGGGGTGCTCCTATGCGCAAAGACGCCGCAAGCGCGAGCGGCCCTCGCAGCAGACTTTGCGGAAGTGACGATGGGCAGGTTAGGCCCACTTCTCACAGTCCTGTTGTCACAAGACCCCGGGTTCAAGCAGCAGGTTTCGCGTGCTGGAGGAGGAGTCTGGGCGTCAATTGGTGTCTATTGTTCTTCAAAAGAGACGTCTTCAGGATGACAGTCCGTTCATTTTGCTCGAGATGTGACATCGCTATGGACTTCGGCTGTGTTTTTCGTGGGAAACTTTTTATGCTTCGAAGCGGATGGCAAACAAATCTTGCACCTTCAGTTGAAGTCCCAAGAAAACTGTTCTTTTGCAGGACGAACCCAGCCCTCGAGACGGAGTCCATCATGTGTGACGGGGTGGGCCCTGTAGGGGGTCCGCTGGCGCCGTCATCAGCCTCGAAGAAGCGGATCGCCAAAACGTACAGGGCCCTTGTACAGGGGTTGATTCCGGAGGACTATCTGGATGTAAACCAGCCCATAGGGCGAATCAAACACGGCGGCGTCAGGGGCGGCTTGCACGCAGCAAGCCCAAACGGAAAGCACTCTCGAAGTCGAATCCGCGTGATCTGGAGGGATATAGAAAAGTATGCGACGCTTGTAGAAGTTGATCTTTTCACTGGCAGGCCGCATCAGATTAGAATACATTGTGCAGCTGCGGGCTATCCTCTGGTCGGAGATCCGTTGTACATAAAAGGGGGCATCCCGGCTGAGACGCTTCAATGGGAACGGACTGCGGTTCAGGGAGGAGCAAGGGCCGAGGAAAAGTTCGAGGGCGCTGAAAGAGAAAACGAAGGGCTGGCCGCTCGTGAGTCTGGGCTGGGAACGGATCCGAAAAAAGGCGGGGATCCGAGAACGGAGGCGCTTGAACATCGTGAGGCGGAGCGGAGAGGAGAGTCTAGTGAGCCGCGGGAGGCCATCCCTAGCCGCGACGAAGTCGAAAGAGATATTGATATGGAAGACGACGGGTGAGCTTGCGTTCGTCAGCTACAATTAGGACACCTCGCCGGTTCTTTCGCTCGCGCATGTTGGTATGGAGGCCTCGTAAGCTGATTGGGTGTTCATACGCTGTTCAGGCAGAGTTCTGGATTGACCCCACGGTCATGCTTAGCAGGACAGCGATCCTGCTGTTGAGTTCTCCTGTGCGTCTCCGTAACGGGTCGTCTCGAGGAGCAACTTCAGCCTGCAATTCAACAGCACATACAAGCACTTTAAAGAGACGGGAAGCTGCATTCGCGTGTCCTTCGACCGTCGCTTAGCCCCCGACTCATTGCTGCAGGGGGCATAGCAAAGGGGCTTTACCCATGCCTGGAGATTGCGGATATCTTCTTCACGCTATGCGACTGGCGTTCGATCACCCTCTCACCAACGAGGTAAGTGTCGAAGGGGAGCCGGCAGAGTGTGTGCGTAGAGTGTCTTCCTTGGGCAGAGTCTTCCTTGTGTCGACCTTCGCGTCTTCACAAAGTCGGAGGATACAACTGTTTCAAAATATGCTTCTTCCTCCTGAAGCCGGTTTCGACTTCAGTGATACAGATCCTAATACTACACGGAAGAAAGGCCAGGTTATTTCTTCCCCTTCTGTTTCTGAGTCCTTTTCTCACTCTGCCATCGTTTCGTCTCTGCAGAGACTTGTGATCGTCGCGCCTCCTCCACCATCATTATGCGCACCAGATGAAAGTCCAGAAGCGTTGCACTCTTGTCTAATCACTTCAAGTGACGACTGTATTGCACTTTCTTTGTTGACACATTCTTCATGAAACGCGTTCCTTGAGGACGAAGCTAGAGTCAGATGAACATTCGACGCGCTTCGTTCACACATGGATCTGCTACATGGGTACGCGTTTCTCCGGCTGAGGGTGCCAATTTTGATCTGTGCCTCGACGTCAGATCTGACGTAAGAAGCTCCCTGAATAGCCTGCTATACCGTGGTATACTCGCAGTTACCTGTTGTTGCCCAGCGTTGCCTTTATTGTGCTCTTAGTACAACCCTCGTATTTTATTTACGAATAATGACTTAAAAAGCGAGCTAGCGAGTCCATATAAGATATAAAGGCCTTTATTGAAAGACGCCCATATATTGTGTCAATCGCGGACATGTCACAGAGCATGTGTGCGCATTCCATGGAAACGCCCTGGCCGCCCCTAGCTACCGGCGTACTCATCACATGGTAGCCCAATGTCAATCAGCAGCAATTGAGCAATTAATAACCGGCCATGGTACGTTTTTGCGGCTACCGTCTTGATGATATCATGACGCTAGCTGGCGGCAGTATACACTCAACGATCGCGGATATGTAAGCAATGCCTCATTTGCATAAGTTATATGCTTCGTCTCTCATGAGTTTGCTGCATGACCGGCTGCACATGCCTGATACATATCTTATGTCACAGCGCGAGCTCCTGCTGAGTTGGGAAACTATGAAGATATACTCTGTTGTCAACGCCGTAGTCACATGGACCATACAGGCTTCCATGGCATACAGATGTGAATCCACATTTGATCGGTTTCGGAGACCTAGCTATCAACAAGACGATTCAGTGCATGCCTCAAGCTGCACGTGGTGGAATGACATTCAGTAAGTCCGCAGTACTCATAGATCTTTAATGAGGTCGCAGGCACGACTGATGGCCCCGACCGCGGGTGCCGACTTCTTCATTCCCGCAAGCGGCAATAAATCCGAAGTTTCAGAACTTCAAAGCTTCCGCAGAACATGCCGCTTTCAGGATTGTTTTCGGCCCAACAGCTTTTCCAACCTCCTAGCCCAACTCTGACCTTGAGGGTTCAATACAAATCGACGTGGCCGTTTGTCAGAGTATGTCTCATCCGTTGCAGCATCCTCTTCTAAGTCATCCTCGTCAGAATCGTCGTCACTAATGTCAGCAACTTGTCTGCTTGACGTTGCTGTTGGTAGACGCGACGAGCTTTCGAGCACCGGTTCCGAATTTTGCAACAACTGGGCTAGCTCGCTCACCGAAATCACTTGGTCACCAGGTTGTGAAGGGGCCATGTCTATGTGGATGTCTAGATGTTCTTCAGGAAGATTGTTCCCAAGACACTCAGGCCATTCGATGAGGCTGATGGCTGCAATATAAGGACAACAACAAACATTTGAGACTCCATCCAACTTGGAACATCCAATCATCCATTATTCAACTCGTGTATGGTCTGAAGGGAGAGAAAGGCCATCCGAGAAATGCACAGAAACAGGCAGAGAAACAGGCATAACCGTGCACTCGAAGGTACACTCGAAGACAGGTTCGAACCTTTACGATTCCTCAGGAAGTCGAGCTTGCAAAATAGGAGGGTGCTGTGCAATTCATGAAGCGATCTGCGGATTTTCCAACCACGTGCAGACATCTTACCAGTCTTATAAGACTCCTCCATGCCCAGCCGCTCGAAATTCTCAGTTGGTCCAGTCAATCTATACAAATCGAAATGATGCACAGGCCTGCGAGGCCACGAGATTGATGGTCAGCAAGCAGCAGTGCCCAGTACAAGCGCCTTGCAGTAAGGCTCTGGACAACCAATGGAATGCACAAAGAGAATGCAATTTACACCAGTTGATAAGACTCCGATACGAAATGACTTTGCCACAAGGCTGTTGATCAACTTTCATGCAAGAAGCGCAGCCACGTCGCCGTGCATTTGATTATAGTTCGGAACCTGCGAACGACAGGCAGGACTTACGTTCCAGGATGATCTTCATAGACTTGCTGAAGAAGAAACGTGGGGGAAGGCACGACCAGGTTCGCATCAGCTGCCACTGCTCGTATGAACGCCCGACTGCAGAACAGAGGGAGCATGTCTGATTAATGGACTGTCACATGTGCTGACCTTCGTATCCTTCTGACTTAGAATCAACTTCAGTTGCGTCTGTCTGCAAGCAGCACTCTGACACATCCACAAAGAAGGAGAAGCCACAAGGGAGATGCGGGCGAAACGCGGGGAAGAGGGGGCATACCTGAAGACACTTTTGCCAGCTCCGACCTGGCCGTAGAGGCAGATCACATCTCCAGGATTTGACACTTGCACAAGGAGCTGCGCCAAGAGGCCAGTTTCATCTTCCCCACTGGACACAAACGTGACGCCTGCGGGCGCCAGTGGTGGGCTTGGCGCCACGCCCCCTGTTGGAGCACAGTCTCTCAACATTGCCCTACTTGCAAAGCACCTACTTCTAGCCTGGGCCGGTGCGCCTGCTGCAATCTCAAAAGTCCTGATCAAAGGGGCTTTGCCGCGTGTTGTTGGAGACAAGCAGCTCTGTTCCAACAATGAAGTTGGATCTGGCTGCTGTCCCAAATGTCCGTATGCCCTGATCAGTGGCAGATGGGCCACCCCAGTAAACAAACCAAAAGGTGCTGTGTGCAGATGTCCACAGAAGGTTGCTCTTGTTGAGAGTGACGGCGAGGTGGTGGTAGTACACTTCATTCCCACCGCATCTTCCGAAGCAAATCTGGCGCGCAAAAACTCGTAAGGACAGAGAACACTAAGGAATGCTTGTTGAGAAACAAGAGCTGATCTTAACAACAAGCTGCGTTGAAGAAACATGAGAAAAGCGCCTGCAAATCTGAGCACCTCCAGGATAAGCAGCACACCTTGCGCGTTCTTGATCAATTGATCGAAGTTTCTGCTACTAACCGGAGTCGTCAAACAAAAATAACGAATCAAGAAGTTCCGTGTTCCCTATAGAGAGTTGAAAGCGTAACGGAAACCGTCGCAATCGGTCCAATCGGTCGAGAGCCCCAGTGCCACCACACGGAGCCCAGAACCGGCACGCCTACGGGACTACGGTACTGTTAAACCGTGATCAGAATCGAAGGCTCCCTTGGTTAGTCGAGGTTTTGTGCACATGGTTTGAAGCACCTCGTCCAACCTCGCATTGCTCGTGCAGGCAACTGGCGCCACATTCTGATCAGCAAGCTGGCACCTGGCAGCACGATGGCGTCCGCAGCGTGCATCGCCCGCCACTCCTCCTTTTTGGGCTCCCCTCTTTCCCGAGAGATCAGACAGCTTGCCAGCTTCAATTCCTTTCAAGCGACGCCCTTGCCTTTCTCTCCGCCTCATGCATCTCAAACTCAATGCCGTAAGAGTGGGAGCTCCGGGCATAGCTTGACGCCCAGCAGATACTCGATTCAATTAGGAAAGCTCCCTGCATTGCCACTGCAAAGACTGAGTGTGGAGTCGCAAAAGGCCAACAGGACAAAATGTGCCGCAGCTCAGGAGAATGCAGGGGGCTCAGATGGGATGCCAGCTGCTCTGCTGTTTGACTGCGATGGTAAGAGCGTTTTTCTTTCTGTTCAAGTGGTCTATTCTTTCCTTTGGTGGTCTGCTCTAGCTGGAGACGAGTCCGCCTCTCATGGCAGGTAGAAAGGAGAAGGGGCAGAACATCTCTGTAAACTTTGGTACTATCTATTTAGAACCTACACAGTTTCAAAGCCCAACCAAATTTGTGTTCCAACAACTTGTAATGCAGGTGTGCTAGTGGATACTGAACGCGACGGTCACCGCATTGCTTTCAATGAGACGTTCAAAGAGGTGAGCAAGACAGCCTTACTTTATGGACCTCTCCTATTCGCAAGAAGTGCACAGCACGCTGCTTATCAGTTCCTTACCTTTCTAAGATGCATCTACTGCAGCAAAGAGCAGCTTAGGTCTGGCACGCTTACTGACTTGAGTGCCTATGTTGCTCAGAAAGGTCTTCAAGAAGACTGGGATGTGCAGACATATGGCAAGCTCCTGGAGATTGGGGGGGGAAAGGAGAGGTGAGTAGTTCTTTCTGCACTTCAGTCTTATTGAAGTCTAGACTCCTTGCCTGTTCAGCTTTGAGCCTAGGCCCACTTGCGTTTCACTTACGAGCCAAAACAACCTCCTCACTTGTCAGTCGGGGCCTGTGCCTGTTACTGGAAATACACTGGAGTATACATGCCACCTCATCATGTCCCTAGATTGTTGTAATGCACGTCCCAATGCCAGGAGTATGCCTTGCTGGGGCTAAGAAAAGCCAGATCAGATTGTTTCAATTGACAAAAACCCGCTTTGCAGGATGACTCATCACTTTAACGAGGTCGGGTGGCCGTCTCAAATCCCCAGCGATGAGCAGGGGCGCAAGGACTTCGTTGCAGGAACGCATAAACGGAAGACTGAGATCTTCATGAAGATGGTCGAGAGCGGCGCCATGCCCCTCCGGCCAGGCGTTGCCAGGTGAGAGGCCGTTGCTGCGGCAGTACAGGACCGAAGTACGATCGATTGTGCGGGCCAGATGCATTGGTGTTTACCGTGAGATAGGCTGCTCGTGGACCTCCATACTAGGGGCATGGTGAGAGGCTCCCCTTCTGTACGCATTACAGATCATTTTTGCCTATTCTATCCTACAACAGAATAAGCGCTGGGTTTCGAGACCTTGATTCTTCCAGTCCCAACATCTTTTGCCGTCACTCTCTACGCTCTCTGCAGCAATCTTCCCAATATCATCCTCAACACCCTCTCCGTCTATTACAGGCTGGTGGACGAAGCGTTTGCTGCAGGGGTGCCCGTTGCAGTCTGCAGCACGTCCAACGAGAAAGCGGTCTCGGCCATCGTGCGGGTGATGTTGGGTGAGGAGCGGGCTGCCAAAATCCGCATCTTCGCCGGTGATGTTGTGCCCAAGAAGAAGCCAAACCCCGCCATCTACAACCTGGCTGCCAAAGAGTTGAACGTGGACCCCACTAGGTTGGTGCCCTTTGCAAATTGGTCTTTTATGGCTCGTTCTTTTAAGCTTAATCAATGTTTCCTTCCCGTCTTTTCTGCTTTAAGGACGTAACTTCAGCTCAAATGGGACTTCATCGAAGGTGGCTTGTTAGGTTTCAACTACTGTATCGGACAGCCAGAATAAGCAGCTGCACCAATGTCATGTGAGTTTTATCCGAACACTGTCTGATCATCACTCTTCCGCTTTCTGCAAGGGCAGCAATCTCCCTGATTTATGAGTTGCCGTACGTGTCGAACACTCCAATACTTAGAATCTGCCTCTCTTGCAGGTGTGTTGTGGTCGAGGACAGTTTCATTGGCTTGTCAGCTGCCAAGGCTGCGGGGATGACCTGCGTTGTCACAAAGAGCGTGTAAGTCCATTCCCCTCTCTCGGGTCCTTGATTTGCTTCCACTTTTTCCTGAAGAAGGCCCTACTGAGAGCGACGAGTAGTTTCATGATCTGAAGCATGGGGAGTGTACATAAACAACGCGTTTCGCTGAGGAGGTCTTGCCGTGCTGTATTGTCATGTCGCTTTGCTAAGATTTTGTCATGTAGACAATCGACAAAGAGGTTGACGTTTCCATTACCTTCAAGGTACACTCAAGCGGAGGACTTCACGAAAGCAGATGCGGTGTATGAGAGCATCGGCGATACCCCCAGCGAAAACTTCGGGCTTCAAGACTTAGCAAAGCTCTGCTCGCGAGCCCTTGCATGATACCTTCTTTTGCCGCAATTAGAGGACGCGTTCGACTCCAAGTCCCGGGTCGTTTTTAAAATAGGAATCCGGCTAGTTATGATTCGATCGCAAGGCAACCGCTTTTGATGGCTACTATTGCGCGGGCATCATTGTAAGAAAGTGTCAGTTATCAGTACTGGCATCATTCACTAATTTCTGAAAAGATCCACATCATGCACGTATCCGACTATATATTGTGCAACCCAGCACCTCGACACTAGTTCGACGAGCCACATTACTTGCATATCAGTTGCCTTGCACATATATCACGAGCATTCATGCAGCCGCTCATGCTCATGGTCGACACAGAGGCCAACTTTGCATCAATCACGTATATTGAGAAGCATAAATGATCGCAATCATGCATGTTCGCGAGAGTTTTCGTTAGGACAAGGCCCGTTTTCCGTTTGCAGATTGCTGCAGGTGCAATAACTGCGATTGCTTAATCTACTGAGGTGAAGCTA